GGAACAGGAACCGCAGGAGGGATAAAAGTTATAGCACAACAGAGGCGAGAGGAAGGATGTTGTAAGGACCGCGCAAGACAGCGACGACAGTAGTGATCACAGCGGTCCTGGAGAGACAGGAAGCCAGTGTCAACATACAAGCTCAGGACGGGAGTCGAACGAGAAGGCACCAGATCCGAGGTGCAACCCAGTATGGTGCAACGCATCAAGATGGCGAAGAGTAGAAGGAGAAGCAGACTAGTAAGCAGGGCAACCATAATCAAGTTTAGACAGGAAGAGAGAGGGATGTAAAGCGAGGAGTGTGCGCCTATCCGCCCCCCAAGAAGTATGGGACAACACCTGAATGAGGGTAAGGGCCTTAGAGCATTCAACACGGAGGTAAGAGATATGGGGCGACCAAGACAACAAACGAGTGTCAAAAATCAACCCCAAAAGCTTAGCAGAATCTTTGTACACAACGGGGTCACCATAAAACGACAAGAAGGACGAAGAACGACACGCTTTCGAGTAAGTCATAGCACAAGTCCTAGACGTAGAGAACCTGGAGCCATGATCGGTGGCCCAAGACGACACGGCATCAATCGCAAGTTGAAACCGGCGTTGAAGAAGAGGTGAATCATCACCCCGACGGCAAAGGGTAAGATTGTCAACATAGAGAGCGGAGAAGACACCAGAAGGAAGAGAGGAAACAAGACCATTTAGGGCAACCAGAAAGAGTAGTGCTCAGAACACTACCCTGGGGTACACCTTCGTATTGCTGAAAAGAGGCAGAGAGAGCGGTACCAAGCCTCACCAGAAAGGAACGACGAGAGAGGAAGCTTTGGAGAAAGAGGGAGATTACCACGATGGCCAAAAGAATGAAGTTGGGACAGAATATGATAGCGCCAGGTGGTGTCTTAAGCCTTTTCCAGGTCAAAAATGACAGCAACAACGGAAGTCTTCGCAGCAGAAGCAGTACGAATATAGACCTCCAAGTTCACCAGGACATCTGTTGTGCTGCGGCACTTGCGGAAACCAAAATGAGAAGGGGAGAGGTGGTGATAGTGTTCCAAGAACATCAGACAAACGTTAACCATGGAACAAACAAATGTACCGTTTCCTCACAAAGATACGGGCAGCAGAACAATGGAGAGGTGATAGAAAACGTAAGGGAACAAAGGGAGCATCAGAGCAAATCAAGAGAGCAGAAGAGTTAGGAGCCTCAGCAACAATGTTCTGGGCAACAGATTCAGGCATCTCAACAGGAGAAGCAGAACGAGAGCAAACATGATGGCCATTGGGAAAGCTATGGACATCAGCCTGCACTGACAGGCGGCGCGGAGAGCTAAGAGATGGAGAAGAAGGATCAGAGGGAGACGAGGAAGAAGACACAGGAGACAAGACAGACCGGGTAGAAAGAAGGGAACCCCAAACAGAGAGCCATGGGGAGGGGGGGACCTTTCGGGATAGAGCTCAAAGGAACAGAGGAGGCGGCGTGACTGGGTCTAAGGCCTGGAAACAGTTGTGAGACTGAGGATGGAGGGAAGGACAAGGAGAGAGAGCGCAACACACGAGCACAAGAGACGTTAGCATGAAGTATTTGGCCCACAAAGCGGGACCAAACAAGGCTCAATATGCATCAGTACGGGAAGGAATCGAGCGAGTGCGGCCGTGCCGAGGACGGCGTTAAGAACCCCCCCCCCCTACCCAAGTTTCAATCAAAATCAGTTGGAGTATACCTACTCCACAAGTGCTGTTTCTGAGGAAAGTAAAGGTGATCAAAGCCTGCCATATAGACCAAAATGCAATTCAAAACATTGAAATTTTGAAAGTAATGCCACTGTAAGGTTATGATAATTAATACTAGAAATAGAAGTACAGTACACAACATGCAACAAATAATGCGTGTCAAATATAGCTTACATAATGCGAGAGATGCTGCAAGCCGAGGATTTTCCTGTCTTCTGATTGGTGATAATGACAAACTCCACCTCATCACCTGGGCTCAAGGAGTTCCCATCCTTCACTTCTGACTGGTGGAAGAAGAGCTTCTTCCCTTCTTCTGTTTCATAATTCAGGAATCCGTACTGACCTGGTAAAAGAACAGATATAAAATATAACACATTGAAGTGACTCCATATGTAAACAGTCTTCATACTATTGTCTTGCAATAGTGTGAATGTGGTGCATTATGGCATTTGAGTAGTAAATCAATTGGGTGAACCATGTGTACTGCCCGAGGCAGTCAGCCCACGTGAACCCTGGCGGAGAATGTCCGCATTCTCTGAAGCATCGTGCTCTTATATAATTATTTAAATATTGGTTACATTCAGATGATGATGTGAAGGTTCTCCATCAATTTATCATTATATATATATAATAAACTTAGCAACAGTTGTTAATAATTTGTTCATATTGAATTTAACATAAATGGCAATGCAAATGTAATTTTTTTCTGGTGGTGCCCCCTGGTGGCTCCTTAAAACTGCCCCCCCCCTTCCCGGTGGCTCCTTAAAACTGCCCCCCCCCCTTCTTGGTGGCTCCTTAAAACTGAGCCCCCCCCTTGGTGGCTCGTTAAAACTGCCCCCCCTTCTTGGTGGCTCCTTAAAACTGACCCCCCTCCCTTGGTGGCACCTTAAAACTGGTACCCCCTTGGTGGCACCTTAAAACTGACCCCCCCCTTGGTGGCTCCTTAAAACTGACCCCCCCCCCCCCGCCTTGGTGGCTCCTTAAAACAGCCACAAAAGTTCTGTAGTGACCTTTAGCCCTTTGTACACTGGAGTCCTCTTTGCACAGGGGCCTTTAATAGTGTCTGGGGGAGAGTTTCTCTGATCCCCATTCCATATAATAGTATGACTGCTTGGCTGTTCTCTTGGGATCAACCCCAGGTCCTGTTTGGCACCTCTGAGTTAGTCATATTTTCAGAGGTTTCCGTCTACCTGCATTGCGCCTTCTGTGGCTAGGCTACCTTGTGAAAGTTCCAGGGATCAATGGCCCTGTGGCCGAGTCTCCGATCAGGCCTCCTGGTTGGCCGTCTGGTCAATCAGGCTGTTGGATGTGGCTGCTCACATCTTGACATCTGTATCACAGCCTGGTTGATAAAGTATTCTTTGGAGTTGTTTGCCGAGTTCTCTCTTGAACTCCATGAGACCGGACAGTTATGCCTCTTATGTGTAGCGGAAGTGTTGAAAAGTCTTGGGTCCTTGATGTTGACAGTTCTCCCTCAACATACCTATTGCACCTCTGCTTTTCAATGGAGCTATTCAGCACATCCTGCCATGTTCACTGGTTTCATGTGATGTAATTTCCATGTTCAGATTTGGAACCAGTCCCTCTAATATTTTTCACGTAGATTATTATGTACAATACCTCTCTCGCCTGCGCTCTAGAGAGTACAGATTTAGAAGTTTTAATGTCCTAATAATTAAGTTGACTTATAGAGTGGATTCCAGCAGTTAAGGGTCTTGCAAATTCTCTAAGTCAGCAATTTATCCAGCTTTGAATGGGGCTGAAGGTGTGCAACAATATTCACCCTAGAGAGCACTAGTGAGCAAGTACAGTACCTTGGGGGACAGCTTTTCACAGTAGATGATCCAGATTTTACTGTGTTGAGTATTACATTCTGGATTCTGTTTGTTAGGAAGTTGAATATCCATCTCCCTACTTTGCCAGAAATTCCTTTAGCATGCATTTTGTGCTCAATAACAACATCTTGAGGTTATCTTGAGATGATTTCGGGGCTTTAGTGTTCCCACGGCCCGGTCCTCGACCAGGCCTCCCCCCCCAGGAAGCAGCCTGTGACAGCTGACCAACACCCAGGTACCTATTTTACTGCTAGGTAACAGGGGCATAGGGTGAAAGAAACTCTGCCCATTGTTTCTCGCCGGCGCCTGGGACCACAGGATCACAAGTCCAGCGTGCTGTCCGCTCAGCTCTCTGAACATGGTCACATTTGTCGTAAGCTTTTACAAAGTCTGAGTATATTACATTTGTGTTTTGCTCGTCTTCCATGGCATCTAAGTGTCAGTGATCTAGCAACTGTGAGAGGCAGGAGCACCCTGTTCTGAACAAGTGATGCCCAGGATTATGTAAATCTTGTGATTCCGTGTGATTTATAATATTACTTCTTAGTAATATTAGCAAATAGACAGCAAATAGACACCCTTGTGTGCTGGATGATGATCTCTGGAATTATTCTTGTGTTTGGTTCTCTGAAATTTCATTTTGCCCATATGCACTCTGCAACTGTTCGTTTAGTGCCTCGCACATTCCCTTTTTATTCTCCGTAAATGTGCTTCGCGTTTTCAACTTCTGAACTTTATCCTTACCTGCAACTTTCTTTTAATGAATTTGTAGAATAGGCCTGGTTCTGCTTTTCAATTGTCCACTATTGCTTTCTAAAAATTTCTTTCTGACTCCTCCTCATCTTCATGTAGTTGTGTCTTGCTTCTTTGTACTGCTGGTCTGTTTGAGGGTTTGGCTTCTTCCTATACTGATAACATGTGTGTGTTTTTTGGTCTCTGGTGCTCTCACAATTTGTGTTGAACCAATCCAGTTTCCTACTTCTGCATCCCTATTTTGATATAAATTTTGTTGTGCCATCATCATATATTTCACAAAACTTTACACACATCACATTTACTTCCTTGCCTAACAGCATGTCTTCCCACTCAAATTCATTGAAGGACTTTAAGTTCCTCATAATGTCCTTTCCTGAAATCAGGTTTTTCCACGGCTCCATTTTCCTCATTCTCTTCTCAATTATAATGCATTCCAAACTTTATTGCCAAAAGGACATGGTCACTTACCCAAAGGGAGAAGGTACTGAATGTCACATCTCTCTTTTTCCTGGTGAATATCAGATCCAGCACTGAAGGAACAGCCTCTTCCCTCATCATCGTTGCTTGTTTAACGCGTTGATACATGCACGCCTCCAGGATGAGGTTTACGAATCTACCAGTTGAACAGGCCTCCATTCTTGCTGTGTACATTTTCCAGTCTATGGATTTCAAGTTTAAGTCACCAAGTACCAACAGTCGTCATCTACCTCTGTCTGCACTTGCTTTAATCTCTCTCAAGATCCTTATGAGGCCCCTCTTGTTTGTCATCCAGCACCACCTATGTCCGTGTGGTGCATGCCAGTGGACTGTACGTATTTATGATTATCAGTGTCACCCTAATTAAAATCTCCAGTGCCATCATGTCAACTTCCGGTGGGCTGTCAATCTTTAGGTGTTCTTTCACCAGAACGGCACCGCCGCCACCTTCCTTAATTTCTTCTGTATCGTCTCCAAACTGAATAGTCCCCTAGAAATCTCATGTAAAATACCATCTTTGTGTTTCATCTTTGTTAATTTGACAATATCTGGCATCTTAACACTTTCGCGCTCTCGGCGCTCAAAAAAAAACAATACCCCAGATGCTTTCGGCACTTCGCGCGCCTACACGGTAAGACCGAAAAGTGTACACTCTTTTGACTGTCCTGACAATAATTGAAGGCGCACGTATTTAAATTTGGTATCACTGTGTTCGCAATGAAATTGTCTATAAGAGCATACCTATAAAATGCCGCCCAAGCATAAGGAGTATCAACACCAAATAAAAAACTATGCAGATCACTCGCCGAGAGCGCCAAACAGCAACAAAATGTTTCCACTCTCTTAATGGTTGCGAAGCCTACAGTTGTCCTACATCGCTAATTTTGGTATCATTGGAATCGCAATAAAATTCTCTACACGGACATATGCATATGAATGTTTAATATAGGTAATTGCCCACCCGCAAGAGTGTGTGAAGTGAGAGTAGTTAGCCGGGAGCGCACTGGCGAAAACACAGGGGGAAAATCATGCTTGGAAAGTTTATACGTTTCCTGACCCTACTTTTCTATGTACGTATTTCTTTTTTATACCAATGTGTTCGCAATAAAATTTTCTATAAGATGAACTGTATAACATTTGTACAAAGCATGTGTAAGAGAAGCGCTAAATATAGAACCACGTCGCTCAGTATGCGTTCGCGGCAGAAACGAACGCATTGTTTTCGTTCGTTTGATGTTTGTCATGTTTATACTTGTTGAAACATTTTATAATTTGTATGACAGTGATCGCAGTAAAATTCCCTACACAGACATATACATAACACATACAAATATTTCCCACGTGTTGGATATATCAACGGCTAAAGGGAACCCACTGTCACACCCCCAAACATACTTTGTGTTTTTTTTTTTTTACTCATAGAAGTTTATGTGATATAATATTCATTTTGGTACCAAAACATTTGCAAATAAATTCTCTACAAAACAAAAGTATCCCCATCCATTTCGGTTAAAAATTGGAATTTATAGAAATATTTTTTCGATGAACGAGAAAAGTAGGCAGTTATGCGGAATCGTAAGAGAAAACTGCGACGAGTTATCTCTAATATAAAGCGCGAAAGTGTTAAGCTTCATTAGGTCATTTAGCTACAGTATTTTGTTTTTTATCTCCCTCCATCTATGTAAGTAGATAAAATTTTTAACATGTTCCCTCTTCCCTTGAAACTTTTACTTACCTTTTCTCTAGTGATTTTGTCAGTTTGTCTTTTTATACCATTTCACAGGCTTATCTATCCTTATAACCTAGAAAAAAAAATAGATTTCTTCTTCGTACCTGCTCTCATTTAGTCATTTTGCTTCAAAAAATTTGTGTTTCAGCTTCTTTGGCTTTCTTTAAAAGATCTAGTCTTAATGACCATAATTTCCCCCTTCCTTATCACTAATTTCCTAACATTCTTGAGTACTGTACTTCTTCCATCTGTTTAGCTCCGTTTAGGGGGGATCCTCAAAGGTCGATCTTTCCCTTTTTCGTACCTGACAATTCTCCTGTAGTCACAGACACACTGGTTGTAAGACCTTCCACTAGCCTAACAACTGGATTCACTACTTTTGCTGCTTCTGTGGCTCTTTCTGATCTGACAGGGGGCCTGACAGCCGAGTGGACAGCGCTTCGGATTCATACTCCTAAGGTTCCGGGTTTGATCCCCGGTGGAGGTGGAAAAAAAGGGGGCAGAGTTTTTTCACCCTGATGCCCCAGTTCAGCTATCAGTACATAGGTACCTGGGAGTTAGAAAGCTGCTACGTGCTGCTTCCTGGGAGTGTGTAACAAAAAGGAGGCCTGGTCGAGGACCGGGCCGCAGGGACGCTAAGGCCCCGAAATCACCTCAAGATAACCTAGATGTTATCTCCTTTTCTTTGCAACCCAAAATTATTAGGGACTTACTTTGATCAACTGTTTTGCACCAATTTTGGGTTTTATGCCGGTTCCTTTCTAATTTCCAGTGTAATTTTTCCCCGCTTGCTGCTGTTTCTGGCTTCCTTTACTGTTTCTTGTATTATTTCCTACTCGCTGGCCACTTGTGCATAGTGAAGTTGTATATCCTTCTTGCAGTGTTTCATTCTCTGTGTGACTTCCTCTATCTTTACTGGCAAAATATCTTTCCTGTTGAATTTCCTTACTAAACTTATTTTATTCACTCGCGTTTAGATTTGCTTTAACTTCGTCGAAAGCCATTTTCAATACTTTACTTTGCTCCTCCAGGCCTTTACGTTTGCCTTCCAGCGAGTCTTGTCGTGGCATAATTCCATTATTTGTTCCTCAAGACTTGATACTTGGCTACTAAAGTGTTCATTACTGTCCTTCAAATTTCCGATTATTTCCAGATGAAAGTTTACAATAATCTCTAATGTTGCCAACATGTCGTACTGTCCTTGTTAACATCACAAAAATCCAGCCGAGTTGAGTTTTACTCTTGCTGGCACCATCTTGGATTTTGAACAAGAGTTCAATTACACAATTCCTTACTTCCCTTTCAATAACCTGTCAGCATAACACATCCAGTGCTTATCTAACATTATCTAGAGTATGCAAGATAGGCACTTGGACACCACCTCAGTTATTGCGTGTGCATTCATACCTCAACTAAAATATTAGTACCCTATCATATTCTCGCTTGAAGAGAACTCTTAACAACCCATCTTCAACACACGTTGAAACTTGCCTTTAACAGCATCAACAGTAGCAATAAGCTTCTTGCGGATGGCCCGAATGAGGACTGCACGCCGGGACTCGTCCAGCTGGAAGGTGACTTGATCTCCCGGCTGCAGCAGTTCCCGTTTGTTGACAATACCAGTGATGCCAAACTCGTACTGAGGCAATCCTTCATCTAATCAAGGGGGGAGTTATTGGTACAGTAGTACATTATAAATCAAGATAAAAGGAACAACAAAGTACAAAAAAAGATGGAGGAGGCAGGAAATAATACCCTAGAAGACAAGAGAAAGAATGAGAATGTTATCATCTTCAAGCAATGCAGCATCTTTAAAAGAATGAGCCATGTAGAAACTCAATACTGTACTGTAGTTTTATTAAGAAACTCAACTATATTGTATGTAAACAATTTAAGTACTGCACTGATCTAGAGTATTAATAATGTCACAACCACATGAAAACTTACTTTCGTTGCCAACACAGACTAGACCACAATACTCTTGCTGGTCTGGGTTGATGGAGCGCATGGATCGAAGCACAGTCCCTTCAAAGATATCAGCCATGACCTTGAAGACACAAAAAACTTACATTAAAGGGGACATCATATACATTAATATATCACCTAAAGGAAATCCAAATCGGAATGTTAAGGTAAATGTATAATGCTTAGCTTTTAATTTTACTTGGTGCACTTGCTCCAACACACAAGTGAAATTAACATGATTTGATGGTTCTTGACATGAGAATTAAGCGTTACGTGTTTTGAAAGTTTTACATTTAAAGAATGTTAAATACACCGACAACTCGTCGATTCTGACCTCAGTAACTCTAATCTTTGGGCAATTTGGTCAAAACTGCAAGTGTGCACCATATGCAAATACATCAAAACAATGCATTATCAACACATTAATATAAAACCTAACTTTAAATATAATGAAGCATCACTATATGGACAGCCCTCGGTAACGGCTCCCTATAGCTAGTTGCATTGAAATAGCTCAACACATGGAAGTCACACGAGCCCTTGTGTGACCTTAATAGCCTACCAGAGATCAGAAACCAAGACCTGCTTCCCCGACCCCTACATTACAGAGGCACAGGGAGCAGAGAAATCATGATCACACTCTTCAAAAAACACATCTTGAGAAAGGATGGGATGCAAAACAAACACGTGGAATGTTCATAGATAGTAAACAAACAATGCAAGTCAATTATCCTCCCAGTAATTAGGTCATACACCCCCCTAGTAGCAGCCGACCACCACCAGGTGGCAGCACCACCAGAGATGACGGAAGTTCACAATTCTACCAACACACCTGGAAGAAAGGGGGAGGGTCCAGAGTGAGACTAGGTCCTCTTCCTTCCCCCCACCACCACCACTTTAAAAAGGCTGTTCCATCACATTCAATCCTGGTTTTCTGGAGAGAGCCCTTACAATGGCTCCCTGTAGCAAACCACACTGATAATAAATGGGCTATACCAGGGGACGAGAGGAGCAAAGACCAAGAGTGTTTGATTTACCCGTGGAGGTAGGCCTGGCCAGTCCTACTGCCAGGGGTATGGACCTGGCTGTGGGGACTTTGAGCCCCAAAATCAACACAAGGTAAGGTAACCCCCCACATAAGCCACTGCTGCACTTATGTAAATTATTTAATATCTAATGTTACTATCCCTTAAGAATTTCTGCATCAACAATCTATAAATTACTGTTATTACCATAAATAAATAACCTTACCTTGGGCATTGGAAGAGTCCCCTTAGAGAGTACATGAACATTCTCCGCAGACACCTTGCCTCCAGGTCCAGTGCGCGATGACAGCGTATATTCAACTTCTTGACCCAACTCAAAACTACTTGCATCTCCTTCCACATTACTGAGAAAAAAAAAAGGCCAAATAAATCTTTAATTATTTAAATTAATCATATGAACATAAATGACGAATGAAAAATATAATCACAATGAGTAACCTTTTAATCACTGTACTGTGCAAACCATGATATCATAGGCTGCCCTACATAAGACGTTTCTTAATACACATACAGTACGATTCAAAACTCCCGAAGGTACACGGGGCCCCACACCCTGTTTCTCAAGACTCCAGTAAACAGAAGCCATCATGAAAAAATGTCTGCATCCCTCCTGGTTTTGAGAGCCTCTGAGTGACCAAGCTCACAGCACAGCAGCGCAAGTCGGGGCAACAGCACCATTTAATAATCAGGAAAAAAATAAGTAACTGCAATTATTTTCCATTATCATAGATAATCCTGATTGTAATAAAAATTCTGTACAAGGTTCAGATATCAGTGAACACATTGCTAGTTATGTTTACAGCAGGAGGCAGACATTCACAGCGGAGGTTTGTGAATCTATGCATCGTGACCTCATCTTCCTTTAGAGGATAATATTGCGGAAAATGATGCGTATTCATAACTTAGTGATAGAAACCTGATAATAATAGCAATGCTGAAGTAATAATAGTGATGTGCATAGTATATTTCAGGATATTTAGCCATTAGGTGACACCGGCTGCTAGTCAGCTGGACACAGTGTATAGCTCAATACTGAACAAGATTTCATCACAATGTACACCAGAACTACTTATTAGTTCATAATACTTTACAGAAATATAGATAGATGTATATAACATGTGTATGGAGTGTAATAACAGCAAAAGCACTGTTTCATTGATCTAATAATATAATGTGTGTCATAAGATATAGGCACCATATTTTTCAGCATAGCAAGGTTCCACACATTAAACTATATAAATTCCTCAAATTACACATTCTTGAATAATATTACTGAAAAAAGAAAAAGTTTATAAAACCATTCAGACATTGAAATAATTACGTAAAATTATATTTGCGGCAACCCACACCACTCTCCTTGGCCGAACTTCACCACTGCTGGCGAGGTATCTCTCCGAGTGAATGCACTGTACTATATTGCCAGACTTCCTCGTCCCATTATAGCCAAAGTATGTCACAAAACAATATCTTGTTCAGCTCCCCCCCCCCACCCCGATAAAAAAAAATGTATTTTAATACAAGTAAAACAAAATTTGGGAAATAATTGTTTTCTGTGCATGGAGAGCCAGTCATATTAATAGCTGTACATTGCAGTGGTTAATATATATGCATGCAAACATTATCCTCTTATTCCTCACTTTTTATGGGGTCGGGAGGTTATCTTGAGATGATTTCGGGCCTTTAGTGTCCCCATGGCCCAGTCCTCGTCCAGGCCACCACCCCCAGGAAGCAGCCCTGTGACAGCTGACTAACTCCCAGGTACCTATTTACTGCTAGGTAACAGGGGCATAGGGTGAAAGAAACTCTGCCCATTGTTTCTCGCCGGCGCCCGGGATCGAACCCGGGACCACAGGATCATGTGTCCCGCGTGCTGTCCGCTCGGCCGACCGGCTCCCTGGCAGCTTGTCCGGGGGTACAGTCCCTCAGCAGCTCCCCAAACACAAGACACCAGTACAGTGGGACCAGTCATTCATTAACAGGCTCTGCAGACTTGTGGCTTAATGGCAACCACGACCACAATCTACTTCTCTCACTTTTCTATTCCAAGTTCCAAACTAGAGTACATGGTGGAAATATATGACATCCTGCCTTAAACACTCCAGGAATGCGTAGCTAGGCAAGACGGCTATAGATTTCTGTCAGTCATATTAATCCTTAATGTAACTGAAGTGTAGTTACAGGATGAAATCTTGGATCTGTGTCCTCTTGTTTGTGAAGTTGCTGGTTTCACGAATTCTCCTTTTGTCAATTTGGTCACTTCCTGTTAGTATTTTGTAAGTAGTGATCACATCACCTCTTTTTCTTCTATCTTCTAGTTTTGGCATGCTAATGCCTCTAGTCTCTCCTCGTAACTTTTTTCCAGTTCTGGAAGCCATTTTGTAGCATGCCGTTTTATCTTTTCCAGTTTGTGTGTTTCTTGAAATTTGGGCACCATACAACTGCTGCAAATTCCAATTTTGGTCTCACAAAAGCCATGAACAGTTTCTTTAGTATTTCACCATCCATAATAATTAAAAAGTCTGAAGTTGGAAAGCAACGCATATGCTCCTCCCACAATGGTCTTTATGTGTTCATCTGGCAACAGCTTATTATCCAAAGCCACCCTAGGTTTCGATGTTTGTTACAGTTCTGTCATGCCTTTCCACATAATTTTTAAGTTGCGTGTGGTCTATTTTCTCTGATTCCACATTCTATAACATGGCATTTATTCACATTGAATTCCATTTGCCACTTGATATTCCAAGCACTTATTTTATCTAGATCAATTTGAAGGGCATCACAATTGTCTGTCTCCTATCTTCTCCAGTATCTTGGCATCATCCACAAACATGTTCGTATAATTCTGTGTTCTTTCTGGTACATGGTTTATGTAGATGATGAACATTACCGGTGCAAGAACTGAACCCTGCGGTACTCCGCTAGTAACACTCCTCCAGTCATATACACACTCTTATTACTGCCTTCATCTGTCTGTTGGTTAGAACATTTTTAATCCACATTAGAAGCTGGAAGCATGTTCCAGTTTCCAGAACAGCTTCTTGTGTGGGACTATCAAACGCCTCTTTTTTAGGTCCAGATATATACAATCAACTCAACCACCTCTTTCCTGTAGTATCTCTGACTATCATGAAAACTAAGCAGATTTGGTACGCAGAATCTTGCTGTCAAAACCATGCTGTCTGTCCGTTATTATGTCATTACTCTCAGGTGTTCAACCCATTTGGCTTTAACTATTTTAAAGTTAAAACTATCTTTACCATTTTGACTACCATGCTTATTAACACTTTCGCACTTTCCGCGAAGGTCACTCAGCCAACCGAATGTGCGCGCGGCGTTTTTATCGCTTAAGCGTAAAAACAAAAATGTGTATACTCTTTTTACTCTTCTGACCTTAGTTCTCATGCTACGTATTTCATTTTGGTACCAACGTGTTCGCAATAAAATTCTCTAGAAGAACATCAGTAAAAAAAGTCACGAAACGTATAGGGATACCAGCACCAAATAAATAACTACGAAGATTACTCGCCGTGAGCGCCCATCAGCAACAAAATGTTTTTACTCTTGGGATTGTAATCACCTCCACACTTATTCTACAGCGTTAATTTTGGTATCAATGGACTCGCAATGAAATTCCCAACACGGTGATATGAATATAAGCGTAGAATAATGATGCGGCCCGCCCGCAAGAGTGTGGGAAGTGGTGAAATTGTTACCCGGTATCGGTGACGGGACGACGCACGGCGCTTTGAAAGTTTATACTTATTTCACTCTCATGACATTAATTTTCTATGTACGTCATTCATTTTTGTGTCAATGTGTTCGCAATAGAATGTTCTATGTGCCCATAGGTAAAAAATATCAACAAAGCGTAAGTTAGAATAGCGCCAAATATAAAACAACGCTGGAACATATCAGTGAGCGTCAAACACACACGAAATATTTTTACTTTTGTTATGTTTGTCAAGATTATACTTGTTGCACACAGTTATTTTTGGTTGTATATTGATCGGAATAAAATTCCCTAAACAGACATATGCATATAATACATGATATGGGGGAAGCATTACCAGTATAAACGGCTAAAGTCACCCACCTGCAATCCGTTTGGGACAAAATACCATTTGATCGAAGTTATCCACACCTTTCATGAACTTATTGTACCATGCAGCCTAGTGGTGAGAAAGAGAGCCTCATAGCGCGCAGTTTGAAACAAACCCAAAGTAAATCGGATAAAAATTGAATTTTATACAAATATTTTAAAAGAGGACTCAACTTTATGTCCACTATGCGTTAGCGTTAGACGAAACGGGACGCGCCGGCGCGTCCAGATAGCGCGAAAGTGTTAATTAATGATATAGGTCTATAATTTAGAGGTTCTTCTTGACTACCATTTTTTATTGATTGGTACAGTACTATGTTTGTCTTTTCTATATATCTGCAAAGATTCCAGTGAACAAAGATGTCTGGAATATTAATTGTAGTGGAATGCTCAGCTCGGTTGCACAGTCTCGCAGCACCCAAGGTGAAACTCCATCAGGTCCAACTGCTTTATTTCTTCCTAACCCCTCGAGTAATTTTTCCATTTTGTCTTGAGATACCTTTATATATTCTATGTACTCTGGAATCTGTATTGGGTCCGGCTCTCTGAAATCATCTTGTACAAACACACTTTGGAACTGTTCATTTAGCATTTCACACATTTCTTTTTCATTCTCAGAAGTTCTGTTCCCTGTTCTCAATCTCTGGATTGTATCCTTCACATGCAGCTTGCTTTTAATGAATTTATAGAAATTTATATTGTGCCTGTTAATAATGAATGAAAGAATAAATGTATGTAGTTATCAAAAACAACAAGAACCAAGGAAACGGCAGAAACCCTTTTGGCCCATACGAGGCCGCTCCTATTTATATCCACCTAAACCCGTTTATACATACTGGTACAGGAAGTGAGCAAGGAGCCACTCAAGTTCATGAAGCATTCCTCGGTCACATCCAATTATTCCACTATGTAAACGACAAAATATAGGAAGCCCTTTTTTATTGTAAAACACAAGACATTTCCACATGAACTATAGTTGACCAAAATAACAATAAAAATGTAACACTAAGTGGGCAACTAAGCATGGGGTTGCGAGCAGCCGCGTCCAACAGCCTGGTTGATCAGGCCAGCAACCAGGAGGCCTGGTCGACAACCGGGCCGCGGGGACGCTAAGCCCCGGAAGCACCTCAAGGGGTGGGGGAAGGAGAAAAAATTATCTAAAGCCAATTACAATAAAATCTTATATTCTATTCACAGTATCTAGAATAATAATTAAAAACAGATGGCTACATACTATTTTTTAACTAGTGCTTCCATTACCTGAAGTGAAAGAAAATCTCCTTGTCGTGTGCAATAGTCTCGATGAAGCCAAACGTATCCTTAAGTGCAGCCACGAAGCCCTGATGCAGTGTGGCTGATGGTCGTCCTGAAGAACCAGTCCCATTCATATTACTACTGCTGCTGCTGTTGCTGCTGTTACCATTAATACTGATGTTATGGTTGCTGCTACTGCTGCTACTGTTGCAACCATTACTGATAGTGACTGTAGTGGTGACAGTCCCACTACTGTTGTTGTTACTGGTGTTGGTAGTGGTGGTATTAGTGGAGGTGGTGCTGCTGTTGCTGCTGCTGCTGACACCACCACCACCGCTGCTGCTGCTGCTGACATCACCACCACCGCTGCTGCTCTCAGTAGAGTTGCTGTTGCTAGTTGAGCTAATTATGATAATAGTAAACTATTAACATCCAACATTAAAAGCATTAAGAAACTCACTTTTAATGATAAAATTAAGTATTACAATAACAATACAGGCCTACTGACTACACATTTTTGACGAGTGTAATAGTATATACTGTACTTATTTTCTTGCCTAAAATCACCAAGACACACTGTGGCAGATCAACATGGTTTCCAAACTCCATTTCACACCTAATTCCCCAAAGCAATCGGCATCACAGCTAGTGAAGTTGGGCTGGGAACCTATTTTCCTATGATTTACATACAAGTTCCTTCTTTTACAACATTGTCCTCTCTAACTTATCTGGCCTATTTCTACCCCACCCAAATGGAACACAGGGGTAATGGTTATGAATGAAGAAATGAACAACTTGGAGTTATAGTCTATTATGACATATTAGCACTTTTAAGTAAACCAGGAAATCCTACAAGTTCTGGTATCTATAAAAAACATGAGTCAATTCATACTAAACATTTGACAAAACTGTCCACTGTCGACTCAAATTTTGTAATGGAAATAAACGCATCTGGCAGAACACATTTCATTCACAAGAGTAAACAAGAACTATAATATCTTCCGACCCCAATACTTTCCTTAATTGAACAGATTAAATTTAACATCTATTAAAATCTAATAATAAAGCTTGTGCTAACCACACATCTCTGCATACTATACTGTACTACGACACAAACATTTACGTTCGGGTTCAAACATTGTTGCACATCAAAAACACTGAAAAGATGCCACCAACCTTGGAGTGTTTGGCAGGGCAGCTGGTGCAGAGAACCCTGCAGCAGTAGGAATCACAAACTTCAGCCGACGGCTAAAACTTTGGCTATGCTGTATTTGCACTCCCATGGCTATGAGCTCTTTGGTGCGTTTAACTTGGTAGATATTAAACTCCACCTGAAAAGTGACAATTTTCAGATACCGTTATCTCTAAGTGGTAAGCTACTACAATTAAATTTGGCACCTATTTAAAATTACAAAAGAAAAATCATTTACTAAGTTCTGAGCCTTACTAAAAGTAAGGCTCAGAATATTAAAAGCAACTTGACTCTCACTTCACTGTTCACTAAGCCAGGTATGTGGTGTATCATATGCCCAGAAATACTGACGCACTAGACACCTACACCACAGGGAACCTTTCAAATGTGCCTGCAGTAAACGGCTAAGTAAGCATTACAAAAACTCTACCTGGCATAGAATGGCATAGAATGACAAACAGATGATACTGTACATTCACATTCATGAAGATTAATATCTTCCCAAAACCTTTCATATGGTCACCAGTGCACAAAGTGGTAGCAACACACATTAGGGCGTCTGGTGGCTGAGTGCACAGCACTCGGGTCACGTAATCCTGGGGACCGGGGTTCGATCCTCGGCGATGGCAGAAAGCAAATAGGCAGTTTCTTTCACCCTAATGCCCATGTTACCTAGCAGTAAATAGGTACCTGGGAGTTTAGACAGCTGTTACAGGCTGCTTCCTGGTGGAGGAGGGGGAGGAGAAATAAAAAAAAATTATCATTGATTCATTGACAGTCGAGAGGCAGGCCGAAAGAGCAGAGCTCAACCCCCGCAAACACAACTAGGTGAATATACACACACCTCAAGGTTCCCAAACATGTATCACCCCACATAATTTAATCAGTGTACAACAGGAGACGGGAGGGATTTGAAGCAGAAATATTCTGCTCAGGTGTATTTCATATTAACAAAAACTCGCATCTAAACAACCACAAGCAGTTACTTCCTATGTTAAATATATTCAACAGATGGGCACAAAAATAAAATAGGTGTGTGAATGTAGTTACATAAGTAGTTACAGGAGGAGAGCTACACTCGTGGTGTTCCGTCTTTCTGGAACTCTGTCATGTGTTGCTTTGACACTACTGAGTCTTGGCATCCACCACCACCTCACTTTACTTGCTCCAACCATCTACCACTCTACTTGCAAAAGTGAGCTTTCTAATGTTTTATGGCAGCTTTCTTTTCTTAGCTTCAGTCTACAACCTTGTTCTTGAAGTTGCCAGAGTCAAGAATTCTTGTCAGTTTTGTCGACTCTTATTTTCATTTTGAATGTAATGATCATGATGCCTCTTTCTATCTTCTAGTTTTTAAAAATTTAACACTTTAATGCGCGCGATCCCCATGAAAAAAAAACACTGCGCATTGTGCGCGCGGCGTTTTGGGCTCTTGAGCGTAAACACCAAACAGTGTGTAATCTTTTCACTCTCCTGACACCAATTCTCGAGCTACGTATTTCATTTTGGTATCAATGTGTTGGCAATAAAATTCTCTACAAGACCATATGTATAAAATGTAACCAAAGCATTAGCTATTCCACCACGAAATAAATAAAAATGTAGATCACTCGCCGTCTCGCCGTGACGCCCAAACAGCAACAAAATGTTCATACTCTTTTGTTTGTTGTCAGCTCCACATTAGTCCTACAGCGTTAAATTTTATATCACTGAACTCGCAATAAAATTCTCTACAATGATCACTGAAATCTCCAACATGTAGGTAGTTTTGTTGGAAAGCACAGCATAGGATCCTCGTACAATGTTTACTTGGTCGTCAAGTGACTGTTTTCTATCTAGAGCCTCTACCAGTTCCTTAAAGCCTTTTCACATAATTTGAATATTCAGGGCGGACATGATGCTCATCCCGCATTGCTTCGTGACATATAGCAATGCGTGAGGTGTATCTTGCTTTGTAAGTTATACAGTATATACCTCGTGAAGCAATATACTGTACTTTGCTTCCTGGGGTATAGTGAAGATGAAGACTTGAGGGAAGGATTTTCTTTATTGTCGTGACTTGCCTGGATGGGCCACTAGTTCAGAGATATTTAATACTCTTGACGAGTATTAGAGCGCAGGGTTTAGACTGGAGCAAATGCGTCGGTGTGTACAAATGGTGCTGCGAGCATAACTTATCGTCGCTCAGGAGCAGTTGTGAAAATTGTCGCGCATCCAAAAGCCGAGTATGATCCATCCACTCACTGTATGATCCACCAGGAGCACCCAGCTGTCCACTCACTGTATGATCCACCAGGAGCACCCAGCTGTCCACTCACTGTATGATCCACCAGGAGCACCCAGCTGTCCACTCACTGTATGATCCACCGGGAGCACCCAGCTGTCCACTCACTGTATGATCCACCGGGAGCACCCAGCTGTCCACTCACTGTATGATCCACCAGGAGCACCCAGCTGTCCACTCACTGTATGATCCACCGGGAGCACCCAGCTGTCCACTCACTGTATGATCCACCAGGAGCACCCAGCTGTCCACTCACTGTATGATCCACTGGGAGCACCCAGCTGTCCACTCACTGTATGATCCACTGGGAGCACCCAGCTGTCCACTCACTGTATGATCCACCAGGAGCACCCAGCTGTCCACTCACTGTATGATCCACCAGGAGCACCCAGCTGTCCACTCACTGTATGATCCACTGGGAGCACCCAGCTGTCCACTCACTGTATGATCCACCGGGAGCACCCAGCTGTCCACTCACTGTATGATCCACCGGGAGCACCTAGCTGTCCACTCACTGTATGATCCACCAGGAGCACCCAGCTGTCCACTCACTGTATGATCCACCAGGAGCACCCAGCTGTCCACTCACTGTATGATCCACCAGGAGCACCCAGCTGTCCACTCACTGTATGATCCACCAGGAGCACCCAGCTGCAAAGAAGCTTTCAACTGAGCTAAGCACTGTGATGATTGACGCAGCGAAGATTAATGGAATTCAGTCGAGCTGTGAACTCCAGGCTGTTTACATGGACTCGCCAACACCATCATCATACAGAAGTAAGGTGGTTATCCAGAGGAAGGGCTCTTGCATGCCTTTTCCAAAGGAGAGAAGTGCAGCAATTTCTGCGAGAGGAAAAATTAGACCAAGTAGAGCCTTGGTTAAATGAGGACTGGATGGCTAAGCTTGCATATATGGAGGTCATGTTTAGCCTTCTTTATGAACTTAATATTTCTCTTAAGGGGTCTTGTATAAATATTTTTACACAGAAATAAAATGTATGCGTTCAAAAAGAAGCTGGTTTTCTGGAATAGTCGGGTACAAGAGGAAGATACAGAAATGTTTCCACTTTTGGGAAATTTGTGGATTGCTGCTGATGTTAACCAGAAAGTCATTCAACAAAATAAGTCAGCATTTAAGGGTGTTACTGAAAACTTTAATACTGTAATTATTTCCATGAAAATGAAGATCCTCGAAAATATAATCTCCAGATTAATCATTTCTTCTTGGAACATATAACATCATGCGCACTTGATCCACGCGAAACAGAAAAATTGATCGAGTTGTCTTCTGATGTCAATCTGGTGTCCAGACATAAAATGCAATCATTGTTTCAATTTTGGATTTCACTCGAAAAAGAATCTCCATCTCGGTTATAAAGCCGTCAAATTGTTGGGCATTTTTTCGACTTCCTATTTGTGTGAAAAGCCTTATTCAGCCAAGTAGTAATAAAAACCAAATAGGGAAATGAAATGGATGTTAATGCTTCACCTCTCAGAAACAATGCTGCAGTCAAGTATATGTAATTTTCTAACAAAGAAGCAGCAGCAGATATTGCACTAATTATATTTTTAAATTTATAGTACTAAGATTTAAAAAATAAAATACTATCTACATTGGTTTATATGTCTGTCTGAGCTGTCAACAGGTCAGCAAAATATTTCTCCCATTTTTTGCCGATCCGAAGACGTGAACAGGTTGAACGCTGGTCTGGTCAACTAGGCTCTTGGACCATGGCTGCTTAGAGGCTGACATATGAATAATAGCCTGGTTGATCAGGAATCCTTTGGAGGCATTTATCAACTTCTCTTTTGAATATGTGAGAGGTCAGCCGGTTATGTCCCTTATATTTAGAGGGAGCGCTGAAAAGTCTTGGGCCTTCAATGTTGATAGCATTCTCTCAAGTGTACCTATTGCACCTCTGCTTTCAACAGGGCTATTTTGCACTTCCAGCCATGACTTCTGGATCTCATGTAGTGTTATTTCCGTGCAGATTTGGAGCTGTCCCTCCAACATTTTCAAGAAGTAAATTATTATGCATCTCTCCTACCTGCACTCTATTGAATACAGATTTACAAACTTTATAGTCCTCAATCTCACATACAATATCTAATACTTCCTCATCCCTCTCCCATCCTTAATCCCTTCCACTTGTCAGTCAGCCACCAACTCTCCTGATCCCTGTTGCCTGCCAGCAAAATCCCTCTCACTCGCCAACCCGATATCCCTCCACCAGCCCACCCGATCCCTCCACACCACCTGCCAACCCGATATCCCTCCACCAGCCCACCCGATCCCTCCACATCACCTGCCAACCCGATATCCCTCCACCAGCCCACCCGATCCCTCCATACCACCTGCCAACCCGATATCCCTCCACCAGCCCACCCGATCCCTCTATACCACCTGCCAACCCGATATCCCTCCACCAGCCCACCCGATCCCTCCATACCACCTGCCAACCCGATATCCCTCCACCAGCCCACCCGATCCCTCCATACCACCTGCCAACCCGATATCCCTCCACCTGCCAACCCGATATCCCTCCACCAGCCCACCCGATCCCTCCACACCACCTGCCAACCCGATATCCCTCCACCAGCCCACCCGATCCCTCCATACCACCTGCCAACCCGATATCCCTCCACCAGCCCACCCGATCCCTCCATACCACCTACCAACCCGATATCCCTCCACCAGCCCACCCGATCCCTTCATACCACCTGCCAACCCGATATCCCTCCACCAGCCCACCCGATCCCTCCATACCACCTGCCAACCCGATATCCCTCCACCAGCCCACCCGATCCCTCCATACCACCTGCCAACCCGATCCCTCCATACCACCTGCCAACCCGATATCCCTCCACCAGCCCACCCGATCCCTCCATACCACCTGCCAACCCGATATCCCTCCACCAGCCCACCCGATCCCTTCATACCACCTGCCAACCCGATATCCCACTAAATCTCTCCCACCGACCTAATATCCCAAAATACCTCCTGATACAAACCTTGATTTTAATACTGAGCTAACACACTATATTCTGCTACCACTGCAGTTTCTGCTCTGAAATATTTGTCACTAATTTTTGGGGGGGCACATTTATACATTACAAATAATACACCTCACCAAAATAATTGTTTATACAATTTGTTTATCTTAATACTGTATGCAGAATTATTTATCACTTGCCATAAGAAAAATCAAGAAACTTATGATAAATGGGGCAGGGGAAAAAAAAAAAAAAATTAGGGAATCAGGATTGGGTCTGGAACATTATACAGTAAACCAAATTGCTGTGGTTCTCCCATACATCAATACAGTAAACCAAATTGCTGTGGTTCTCCCATACATCAATACAGTAAACCAAATTGCTGTGGTTCCCCCATACATCAATACAATCACTATCTAAATGCAACTAACTGCAAAGTCTGTAGCAAAAGCAACAATGTGTAGACGAACGTTTTCAATCTTATTAATGTAATCATTGACTTTGTTTAGTGCATTAAAACCATTAGTAAATCAAGATTATATTAGTTCAAGAGGATACAGTAATCTGGCCGAGGATGCGTTAATCACATCACAATATAGATGCAAACTTAGAAACTTCACAACATACTTAAACCCTTTGGCTTTGAAAATCAGGAATGCTTGCTTCAGTGAAAATAGTAGAAAAAAATGCCAAAATATTAAAACGGACAACTGGCATTCTGAATATGAGCGAGTCTAATTACCAAGCACTGCGAACTTCTTCCTGATGTTGGTCAGGTGCACCTCACATCAATGGTGATGCCTAAGCAAGAGTTGGAAAGGGCTTCCAGTGTCATCTGCCCGATAGTCCATAATCCTGGTCTTTTATGACCTCAAATACTTACCTACGAGTTGAAGCTTTATGCCATTTCTTAAAACTGAATAGATGCATACTTTTTTCTTTAGGCGGCATGTGAACATTAACGTGTTTCATGAGTAGTAAACATTACAGGACATACTAGAGAGATGCCATAGCATACTATAGAGATGCCATACATTAAAGAGATGCCTCTAATATACTGTACCTTATCCCCCACCTGTGGGGGTCTATCACAGCCTTTAGCATAGTAGTTGATTGACTGTTTCACGCCATCCTGAACATATGATATAAGCCCTGGTTCTTCAGTCTTTTCAGGTGACTGCCCATTACTCTTGTTTGGACTTCGAGGACTTGCTGGAGCTTCAACCATTATCTGTAAACAAAGACATAGGGAAGGAGTTTAATCATTTCTCTGGAACCATGAAAGCAAGATAATTGGTACACAATACTGTACTACAAAACAAACATGAAAAAATAGGAAATAGGTCATCTGGTAAAATTAAACATCTATAGATTAAATGTGCTTAAATTAAAACTGTCTGTGGGAGTAGGTTAGCCTCTTGGCCAAGAGGGAATATCCCATTCAGCAGTAATGCAACAACATACTCAACACAAGAATAAGTACTAAATAAGCCCAGGGGTCCCTTGAACACTGCACTGCTCCGCAGTTTAATATGACAAGTCACTGCTGTGCAGAAAAAACAAAAGTTTACATAATTATTTCAATGTCTTTGAATGTTTTTTAAATCTAGATTTTTGCAGTACAGTAATATTGTGATCTGTGTAATACGAGAAATCTATACATTTAAATGTATGTTGACAACTATTCACACTGGTGAAATGCTTCACAGTGGCAAAGCATGATTTGGAAAAGACGGAAAATTGTATATGGCAGATTGTGTCATCGACTACAATATAAATACGAGATTGGTAGATAAATGTGAAATGATGGTTGTCAAGTGTGTTCGATAAAGAAATTGTTAACAAATCCACAAGGGCTGTGATGAGGGTTCGAACTTACGTCCAGGATGATCCCAAACGCGCCTTAATTGACTGCACCACGACATGGTACAAGTCGCGGGGTGTTTGTATACATATACAAAACCCTCATGGATTTATTCATTTGATATATCAGGCTATATTTTAATTTTTTTTTCATTTATATATACAAAAGTTCTTTCATTCTTGTACGGCCACTAGTAAGCATAGTGTTTCAGGCAAGTCCATAACCCTTTCACAGCTCCAATTGCAATTTAAAAATTTCCTCCGGTGCTCAAATTGCCATATGTGATTTTTTACATTTAATTTTTTAAACTATTTTTTTGTCACGTGCACCTTATGCAAGGCTTAAATAGCCGATTTAAAGAGCCGATGTGAGCCATTTATGGGTTAAAGATTTCTGTAATTACCTATTCTAAGCAGAGATCTAAATGCAGCATCCAGTTAGCTTCTCCAATGTAATGAATTTCTTCAAGTCCAGAAATGCATAATAATAAGGCCATACAGGAAGCTTATTCAATAACATTCATTTCATGTGTTAAGAAAACATGCAAATATTTCACTTGAGAATCTCATCTCGATACTGTATCGCAATTAAAAGTTAAGATATTAAACACTATTAAATAATATTACCATAAAAAATAACTAGATAAAAAAATATTCAAAGATATTGAAATAATTAAGTAAAAATGTACTTATGGCAACTGCCACCACACTGCCACTGGCGAGTACTCTGTCAACCCCTGAATGTTGCCACACTTCCTCCCCCCATCACGGTCAAAGTATGTCACATACCATATATTCCCCCCCCATCACGGTCAAAGTATGTCACATACCATATATTCCCCCCCCATCACGGTCAAAGTATGTCACATACCATATATTCCCCCCCCCCATCACGGTCAAAGTATGTCACATACCATATATTCTTTTTTACTTCCTCATGATCAGAGAATGCATTTTAACTATTATAATGAATAAAAAATGTGAAAATTATTTTTTTGTGTTATGCGCACAAGGCAATTGTCAAAAGTAAACATGTGCAGTACAGTGGTTAAACAATATCTCGCATGTTACTTGTTACTCTGAGTATCTTACTTTTGTAACTGAAGAAAACTCACCTGACCATTCACACCCTCTGTAATGAGCACTTCAAACTTGACTGTGCCAGAGTTTACCCGGTGAATACGGATTGCACTCTGCCGGTTTGGCGACTGATTTGTTGTATCCTGCCAATAACAACAAAAAATTATTTTAAACAATATAAAGTATAAGCAACATAAATAATGCACCTGCCTAAGCTCCACAGCCCCGGTTCTGTTCCAGGTAAGTCCATTACGGGCTCGCCATAGCCCGTGCTACTTGGAACTTTTTGTTCCAAGTAGCCGAATCTAAAACAACAACAACATGCCAAAGCTCAAACGTAACCAGTGTTGTAACTTGTCCTTCAGCCACTACCTTACTTCTTGACTACCTCTTCAAGAATCTACCTCTTCTGGGATCAATGTCTCGTAGATCCGGTCCCTGACCATGCCTCCTGGCTGCTGGTACCACCAGTATTAACTTTCTACACAAATTATATTCCTATAATTAAAGAATTTCATAATATATAATTAGTTAACAATAAAGCTTAGTTTAACAAGCACTGACACACTTGGATGGGGAAACAGCACCGTGACTTCAAAACCCTTCTTTATTATAGAGAAAATTTTAAAAAATATGAAAAGATTTTACTACTGGACTAATTATTAATGTCCAGAAAGAGAGAACTGAACTTTTTTTTTGTTCTGACTGGGGAAAATCATGGCCAATCACATCTAATTTTCTTTTGCTTTTACAAAAAAAAAAAAAAAATTAAAATGGTAAGTTATTTACTGTACTGTACTACTATAAATGTGACAGGTGGGTTTGACAGCAAACCCAACCTCTCGTTACTTGTGGAATTTATCAATTTTTCTTTGGATACCTTTTTATTTGTGAGTAGAAAAGATGTCATCTTAGGGATTTATCAAGGAGAATCACCTTGGGAACTATACCTGCACACAAGACCTAAACAATGTGTGTTTATAACAAGTCACAGTGCAGAAGGCAACCATTAAATCCCACACCCAAAATGAGCCGGCGGCCGAGCGGACAGAACACTGGACGCGTGATCCTGTGGTCCCGGGTTCGATCCCAGGTGCCGGTGAGAAACAATGGGCAGAGCTTCTTTCACCCTGATGCCCCTGTTACCTAGCAGTAAATAGGTACCTGGGAGTTAGTCAGCCGTCACGGGCTGCTTCCTCGGGGTGGAGGCCTGGTCGAGGACCGGGCCGCGGGGACACTAAAGCCCCGAAATCATCTCAAGATAAAGCACAGATTATAGGAGTTGACACTGGTAGGACGATGTGTCCATGGATACCTTGTCTGTACATGGTACTCATGAGCAGGGCAAATTAGCAAGGCATCACAAATTCATTTAAATGTAGTGAATGTAGTATTGCAAGCTTGAACCCACCTGAGCAACAGTAAACATGACCTCATCATTAATGGCAATTTCATGTTCTGGGTCCAACAATTCGTTGTAGTGGAAAAACAGACGAGCATCACGATCGGCACACTTGATGAAACCGTAACCGTCTTTCAGAGCAGCAATGACGCCATGTTCACGTTTCTCACCAGACACATTAAAGCTGAAATAAATATTCGGCTTTCAAACATGAAATAATAATAATGGAACCTACCCAAGTATGACAATTAAGTCACTTTATTCTGATGAATATAAACAAGAGTAATTTGTGCATTGTTTGTTACCAAACAATATTAACCAAAATACTTAAAGCAAATTAATCATTACTGTGACAGAGGACTCTCTTGATTTTCAACCACACTGAACAGGGGCATTTCAGAAAAATTTATATAATTTCATATCTATAAACATTAACACTTTTCAGGTATAGAAAGTAGACTTGAGGCTAGAAAAGAAAAAGGGCTTTGTGTTAAGAGTATGCTCGAACACAGTTGAACAAGACTGTGCTGCATGCACGAGAGAATTTGTTAAAAAGAACAACTGCAATGCAGATTAGGACAACGCACAAACAAATTCCAAGAGGAAGGTTGTTTGTGCAGGACAAAAGGATCTGGACGACCACCAGTATCGGAAGAGGCGGTCGAGTGGGTCTGGGAAACATTCTTGTGAAGACCCAGAAGAGCCATAAGAAGTGCAAGTCTGGACACCCAGATTCCTCCCAATGACAGTTTGGTGTGTCACAAGGAAATGCTTGCTAATGGCACCCTACAAGCTGCCTCTCGTGACTACATAACCCTGGATAACATGGGTTCAGAACAGGACACTCCTGCCTCTCACACAATGACTACGTAACCCTGGATAACATGGGTTCAGAACAGGACACTCCTGCCTCTCACACAATGACTACGTAACCCTGGATAACATGGGTTCACAACAGGACACTCCTGCCTCTCACACAATGACTACGTAACCCTGGATAACATGGGCTCACAACAGGACACTCCTGCCTCTCACAATTAATAGACCAACAAGGCATGGTCTTAGATGCCATAAAAGACGAGCAGGACCGAGTGCAAGGAATGTTTGAACACTTCACACCAGTCCATGGATTGCGAGGTATTATTGCACATGCAAGAGTGGTCATCTCAATTCTGGTATGTTTCTCAGCAATTGCAAATGAAGTGACACTGGAAACTTAACTGGAATCTTAGCAACTTTCTACTTGATACTGTTTACAAAATACTTTATATTTCTTTCACTTACACAAGTTTTATGACATTCTCTCCCCCCCCTCCCTGGTAACTTTCATCTAGAAAATTGTCTATTTATTGACAAATTTCACCTTGTTATAAAGACAGGCAAGACAGACAAGGTTTAGTGGATCTTTGACAGAGTAAAGAAATGGGGAACAATATATACAAATGTGGAGAAGCAGCACAAGTGAAAATGTGAAAATTGCATGGTTATAAAAGATGCCAGGAGCCACTCCTCATGTGGCCACCCAGCGATGGGGAGCTCACATGACGGAGTAAGGAATTGGTGATATACATCAAGCTTTGAAGGAACAGTTTTATAAATTTTGTAAACCATGTAAAATATACTTGCTACCATCACCACAATGTATGTTATACCTGTCATCCAAAAGGGAAATATTGGTAGCTTTTTGCAAATGATCGCGACGATCGGTAGCTATGTTGAACTGCACCCAGTCTCCGTGACGCAATGTGAAATCGCCTTTCTGGTCTCGCTCTCCGAACTTAACTTCAACCTGCAAGTTAAAATTACAAAATGGTAGCACACATTTGTAAATGTCAATGATTTCTTGATGTCTGTCCTATCAATTCTCAGTCATTACAAATTAACTTGTTCAAACTCTTATAATTTTTATATCACTTATTTCTCATTTTTAAAAATAACATATAGACTCTAGGCGATACATCAGAAACAGGGTAGACTGTAGGGGAAACTCTCTCTATTATCTAGAATTACACAGTATATTGGGATTGGCCGACAAGGAAGGTATGGTGTCTCACTCCACGAGGGTGCGTGAGCAGCCACCCAGGCTGCTGCTCTCAAGACTGGTGCGGTCACCTTTACAATTTCATGCACAGGCATCACTTACTTTACCACTATTACCGTATATTTTCAAGTTATCACAGCTAACTGTGAGTGGCCTCGTAGCCTGGTGGATAGCGCGCAGGACTCTTAATTCTGTGGCGCGGGTTCGATTCCCACACGAGGCAGAAACAAATGGGCAAAGTTTCTTTCACCCTGAATGCCCCCGTTACCTAGCAGTAAATAGGTACCTGGGTGTTAGTCAGCTGTCACGGGCTGCTTCCTGGGGGTGTAGGCCTGGTCGAGGACCGGGCCGCGGGGACACTAAAGCCCCGAAATCATCTCAAGATAACTTGGGAGAAAGCAAGCAACGTGTACGTACCTCCGAGCGGTCCTTGCCCCTGTAACGTATGCGACCAGTGAGTGGGTCCTTCTGGTTATGTCTGGGGTTCCTCTCCACTGGCTTCAGCACCTGACCCCTTATTAACTCCTGATTGATATCCTCAAAAACAACTGTTCCAGGATTTAATTTTACCATGTTAGTTGCAACTTCTTTACCCTGTAAATATGAAATACAAAATAATTATCTCTTAGTATTATTTGCCCTAAACAGTACTAGTGTTAAACATGATTGCTAAAATGTTCAATTATAATATTGTGCAGCTAGTATACAGATAGCTATTTATATTGCTGGAATTTAGTGAAATCAAGGTCCAATGGAACTAGATCAAATGGAAAATTGGATTGGAACACAGGAATATAGGAAACCACAGAGAGCCAATTGGCCTGTACAAGGCAGTTCCTATTTATATCCACCCAAACTCATTTATACACAGTATTTGTGTGTAACCTACACTCAAAACAATCACAGGATCCTCACATCTATTATGTTACCCAGTAATTTGTGCAACAAATCGACCAGTATTTATCCAGGTCTTTCCTGAATCTAAACTTATCCAATGTATATCCCTCACTTGGTGTTCTATTTTGAGTTGATACTGAAAAAGATTGAATTCTGTCTACTGTGCATCGCAACGAAATAGGAATAGACAAGATAAACAAGACAAGATGAATTAAAATGTATTCAAAACATACTGTACCTTAAAAAAAAAAACAGCATTGAATGTGCTGAAATATCCCTTTCTGGTTGGTCCTTTGTGCTGCTACCTGACAAGCTTGACCCAATTCAATCCACATCAGGTCCTCATGAGTCATTGTAAGTCTACTGGGGCTCCAGGGGCCCAAAACTTGGCCCCCTCTCTATAAGTGCAAGGAGCAGGGGGAAAAACATCCCTCAAACCCAGGAAACGCCACCAGGAAAGTGGACAAACCAAAATATACCAACACCGAGGTAAACGAAGCATGGAAAATGAGACTGCGAAGCTAAAACTAATCACCTATAGTGAAGCAAGGAACTAATCACCTATAGTGAAGCAAGGAACTAATCACCTATAGTGAAGCTGTGTCAGGTGAGGATCTAAGATCCTCACCTGACATAGAAGACAGGAAAATCTCTAACCACAGGGAATGATTCATGACCATAAAAGTCCCAAGAAACAGAAGGCAGTCGATTTTCATTGTGAAGCAGCCGTTCAAATATCTCAATTGTCAAGGTGGAAAGGACAGATGCCAGAGAAGGGCTAAACATACCTACAGTATCATCACCCCCAGACTCCAAAACCCTCAAACATCTCTAACCTAGAAAGAAACGGGGAAGCCCATGGGCTCACCAAACAAAATCAGGTACATAGAGAAAAGGGATGGATATGTAAATTTGGAGCAAGTAGAAAACACCAACTGCTCCAAGCCCAGATCCTGAAAAGACAAAGAGGATGACCCTGAGGCAACCACATGCCTCCAGACATTAAGCTGCGACCTCTGAATACAGACAAACCCAGACCCTGAGGCAACCACATGCCTCCAGACATTAAGCTGCGACCTCTGAATACAGACAAACCCAGACCCTGAGGCAACCACATGCCTCCAGACATTAAGCTGCGACCTCTGAATACAGACAAACCCAGACCCTGAGGCAACCACATGCCTCCAGACATTAAGCTGCAACCTCTGAATACAGACAAACCCAGACCCTGAGGCAACCACATGCCTCCAGACATTAAGCTGCGACCTCTGAATACGGACAAACCCAGACCCTGAGGCAACCACATGCCTCCAGACATTAAGCTGCGACCTCTGAATACAGACAAACCCAGACCCTGAGGCAACCACATGCCTCCAGACATTAAGCTGCGACCTCTGAATACGGACAAACCCAGACCCTGAGGCAACCACATGCCTCCAGACATTAAGCTGCGACCTCTGAATACGCACAAACCCAGACCCTGAGGCAACCACATGCCTCCAGGCATTAAGCTGCGACCTCTGAATACGGACAAACCCAGACCCTGAGGCAACCACATGCCTCCAGACATTAAGCTGCGACCTCTGAATACGGACAAACCCAGACCCTGAGGCAACCACATGCCTCCAGACATTAAGCTGCGACCTCTGAATACGCACAAACCCAGACCCTGAGGCAACCACATGCCTCCAGACATTAAGCTGCGACCTCTGAATACGGACAAACCCAGACCCTGAGGCAACCACATGCCTCCAGACATTAAGCTGCGACCTCTGAATACGCACAAACCCAGACCCTGAGGCAACCACATGCCTCCAGGCATTAAGCTGCAACCTCTGAATACGGACAAACCCAGACCCTGAGGCAACCACATGCCTCCAGGCATTAAGCTGCAACCTCTGAATACGGACAAACCCAGACCCTGAGGCAACCACATGCCTCCAGACATTAAGCTGCGACCTCTGAATATGCACAAACCCAGACCCTGAGGCAACCACATGCCTCCAGGCATTAAGCTGCGACCTCTGAATACGCACAAACCCAGACCCTGAGGCAACCACATGCCTCCAGACATTAAGCTGCGACCTCTGAATACGGACAAACCCAGACCCTGAGGCAACCACATGCCTCCAGACATTAAGCTGCGACCTCTGAATACGGACAAACCCAGACCCTGAGGCAACCACATGCCTCCAGACATTAAGCAGCGACCTCTGAATATGCACAAACCCAGACCCTGAGGCAACCACATGCCTCCAGGCATTAAGCTGCGACCTCTGAATACGGACAAACCCAGCCCATAAAGCACCAGATAAGGCAAGTTGATAGGTGGCAGCTTCACTAAAACGGAGAACTAATGACCACGTCACAGGACTCGGGGTGGAATGTATTCCCCCTACCTAACAGGTAGGGCACATAGGGCACCAATGGCTGTGTGCATAGCATGCTGGACACGTAATCCTGTGGCTCGGGTTCGATTCCTGCCGAGAAACAAAATGGGCAGAGTTTCTTTCACCCTATGCCCCTGTTACCTAGCAGTAAAATAGGTACCTGGGTGTTAGTCAGCTGTCACGGGCTGCTTCCTGGGGGTGGAGGCCTGGTCGAGGACCGGGCCGCGGGGACACTAAAAAGCCCCGAAATCATCTCAAGATAACACCAACAAACAGTTACAGACAATCACTAAGCACATACAAAATAAGGTGAACAGTTTAACAGAGTGAGGCATAAATTTACACACACCATGATGCAAGCAGTAACAAAGAAATATGCAAGCAAATAGCATCCAAGTGACCAAAACAAGAGTCCAGGATGGCCAATACTCGTCTAAAAAACCAGAATTGGAAAGGTATTTAGACAGCAAATGATGCCCAAGAGAACATCATAGACAGTAGCACCGAGACGAGATGATAGAAGAGAAAGATGTACATACCCCTGGTGGTGCACAGGTGGCATCAACAAGAACCACTTTACAACCAGGCGATTCGTTCCTCTCGGAGAGCTTCACTCGTTTTCTATGCTTTGTTTACCTTGCTTCACCCACTTGTCAGGTGGTATTTTCTTGGTTAGGGTGATCTATGACCCTTGCTCCTTCTGCCTTTTAACAGGGGGCCAGGTTTTGGCCTCTGGTCCCCAGTAGGCTTACAGTGACTTTCAAGGGTTTGTTGTGGATCGAATTGCTGTTTGCTATGTAGCAGCACCAAGATGCACTAATGCTCAGAGAAAACAGGTGGCAGAGGCAGGGGTGGCAAGGGCAGTGGCAGGGATGGGGTGTGGCAAGGGTGTGGCAGACAGGGGTGGCAAGGGCAGTGCTAGAGATCGGGTGACAAGGGCAGTGCTAGAGATCGGGAGACAATGGCCGTGCTAGAGATCGGGTGACAAGGGCAGTGCTAGAGATCGGGAGACAATGGCGGTGCTAGAGATCGGGTGACAAGGGCCGTGCTAGAGATCGGGTGACAATGGCCGTGCTAGAGATCGGGTGACAAGGGCCGTGCTAGAGATCGGGTGACAAGGGCCGTGCTAGAGATCGGGTGACAAGGGCCGTGCTAGAGATCGGGTGACAAGGGCGGTGCTAGAGATCGGGTGACAATGGCCGTGCTAGAGATCGGGAGACAAGGGCCGTGCTAGAGATCGGGTGACAATGGCCGTGCTAGAGATCGGGTGACAATGGCGGTGGTAGTGATGGAGGACTAAAACAAACAAACAACTTACATTGCGCGTCTGGATGTAGAACTCCACATCATCGCCAAGCTTCAGCCCTCCAGGAATATTCTTAGCTTCAGAAAAGTGGAAGAATATCTCGTCGACAACGTCTGCTCGCTCAATAAAGCCATACGAATCTTTGATGGTGCTAACTACACCTTGGTACTTGACTGGCTGTGCAGGGTTCTCCAAGCGAACATGGCGAGCAGCTAGGTTGCCTGTCCTGTTTAAAAGGTACAACAATTAAAACAAACTAATTTAAATTGAGATCAAAATTAGCAATTAGGTTCAGATTTTCAATGAATAAATAAAATATTCAATATTGCCAGTTGTACACGTCCTCAGGTCTTAAGAGTCGGAGAAGATAAGTGGCACATTTCCCACATTACAGGTGCCAGAGGAAGACATCTTTATCTTGGGAACCATATTCCCACATGAAATTAAAAGGCCATAATACTCCAATAAAAACTCTCCCAAGTGTAATTGATTGCGTAGTGAGATGTCTAGTGAAATGTAATATGATGATCATCACCACAATTATATGTTCAGAGTTCAGAGGCTGAATATAAAAAACATGAAAAAACTGACCAGAGGGAGGGAGGGAGGCCGGGGAGCCTCCGGTCTCACCCAGAAAATGGCGTCTCATTACATTCAATGCTAGTTTTCTGTGGAGAGCCCCATCGGCACCCCGGAGCTACCTAACCAAAGATAACGGGAAAGAGGGACTTACCCGGGCGGTGGCTGCCACTCGCGCCTCAACTCGAAGTACTGTAGAGACAACTGGCTGCAACCTTCGACCCAAGGTTACACACACCCGAGAGGGTCCAGGAATATTAACGAGGTATCATGCGGCCAGAACCCTGTTTGACCTCCAAAAGCCCTGTGCCTGAATGTCAGCCCAGGATATATTACCAAAAACATCAGCCAAAACCGCGAACTTATGAACGTCGCGGGCATGGGAATAGACCACAGGATGGCCGGACCGAATAATCCTGTCATCCTGTCAATCGGGACGTGCCAATACATGTCCTGAAGATCCAGGGACACCATCCAGGTGCCCAGCTCCAAAAGCAGCCGAACCTGGGACAGTCGTCATCCGAAAGGATGTGCAAAAGACCTAGGTGTTCAGATGGGACAAATCCAGAATGTCCGTGGAAATAAACATTCCACATAACTGGGCTCTAGGAGACTAACTGTAGCCCTACGTGTGTGGAAAGTCCACATGGAAAAAGTAAAAAAAATTGCAGTTTGGCAGCAGAATGCTGCTTCGGGAAACTTTCCTTATGAAGACTACTCAACAGCCTGGTCGATAGAGCTTCGGCCTCACACACATGGGGTCCATGGTTCAAGTCTCTAGACCCCAGGTGAAATGGAATGACTACATAGCACTTGGAAAGGGTATGATGACAAGCAACCAATGTACAGGCATAAGTAGAACCCAATGTCTTTCTTCACAGAAGTAGTTAGGAGTTTTTCTTTGCTAGTAGTCATTGCAGGAGGGTTTCCAAATACCATTTTTTTGCAACGAATGACATTATCAACGTGCTTAACACTATCGGTAACTTTGGACAGGACATGCGTCCATTATTTTTCTCCCGAGTCCTAACTTTGGACCGGACTTGCGTCCACTACAAAAAATATTTGTATAAAATTCATTTTTTATCCAATCGACCTCGGGATAGTATCAAAATAAGTGCCTTTAGATTGCGCACAACTTAATACAAAATGAAACGATGTCCGAACACTTGAAAGATTATAAATATGCTTTTGGTCAAAATATTAAAATATTTTAAAATTCTATTTATTATCCTATTATCTTGGGACTAGTTTTAAAATGCGCCCCTTTACGCCGCGAACAATTTGATACCAAAATGAAAGATGTAACACAAAAATTTATGTCAAAACACTGGAAAGATATAAATAATTTTGTGATGATTAGCGTCCAGAATTAAAATATTTGTTAAAATTCCAGTTATTGTTCTATTATTATGGGACTAGTTTTAAAATACGCGCCTTTTTATTGCGAACAATTTGATACCAAAATGAAAGACGTAACACGAAATTTGATGTTATCAAATTGAACGAGTATACACATTAAGTTGCAGTGTACAAATTGGTGCTCGTTCACGGGTATCTTTAGGCTTTTCTGCGGGGAGGCACTCCAGGCTTTTGTACATTATATTCATACACATCTGTAGGGAATTTAATTGTGAACACAATGATACCAAAACGAGCGACATAGCACGAGAATTAAGGTGAGAAAGCTGAAACGAGTATACACATTTAAGTGTCACCGCGCGCTTACCCGCACGCTCAGTGCATGACCCCTAAGTCGACCGCGCGCCTGCCCGGTGAGCGATAGTGTTAACTGTTCTGCAGAATTTATATGCAAACTACTACTGGTTAATAATTTTCAACTTTGAGTCTCGACTAAAGCCATCTCATTTGTGGTCAGGAATGTCAGGTCCGTGCTTCATCGAAGATGTTGCTACAGTTTATCACATACACAACTCGGCATCTTTGGAAGATGCAATCTGCATACATAGTCCAGTCATGGTATGTGTCCCTCTTATATTTCTCATGTACACATGTCCTTTTCTAAATCCATATTGCAAACTGCCATCATTTATTTTCATGATGAGTTTCTGCTTATGTGCCTGAGCAATAAAAGCTGACCCCGTGCTGCGCTGGAAGGTCAGTTACCTAGATTGTACCTGGATAGGGTTCTGAGAGTTCTACTTTCCAAGCCCAACCCAGGGCCAGGCTTTACTTGTGAAAGCTTGGTCCAATAGGTTGTTGCTTGGAGCGGCCCACATTCCACCACAGTCCAGTTGGTCCAGCCTTTCTTGCAGAAAACCAGCGTTAATATAATGAAACGCCATTTTCTGGGCGAAACCCGGAGGCTCCCCGGAGCTATCCAGGTTAATGTCAGACTTTGGCATCAGTCATGTGTATGGAGTTCTGTGGGCCTAACGGGGACCACGAGCCAGAACCTGGCCCCCTCAGAAGAAGCATGAGCAGCAAGGGCCTTCAGAAACCCCCGTGTGGTTGGAAGCATTCTGTGTCTGCCATTGACCGGGTCAGGCACCCAGAAAGGCAAGCGTTCCAAAACAAACCTCTATTCTGGTGAAAATTGCTACAAAAAGGCGAACAAGTGTATAACACTCCCCAAAAAGAAACGAGCAAACAATCATGACATTACACGTCGCCACGCTGCTGTCTGTGCAGCTCCTCCCCTCCTTGGGAGGGCGAAGGGAAGTCCCAGACCCCGTGCTGGCCATCCACCCTTCAGTTCTGAGGCTGGACATCAAAACACGAAATACTGCTGACCGTGGGGAGGGAGGGATGCCGGGTAGCCTCCGAGCGTCACCCAGAAAATGGCGTTTCATTACATTCATCGCTGGTTTTCTTGGAGGAGAGCCCCTTCGGCTCCCAGGAGCAAACTACAGAGCCCCTTCGGCTCCCAGGAGCAAACTACCCACAGAGGAAAATTAGAGGGACTTACTGGTCGGGGGAGCCGGTCGGCCAAGCGGACAGCACGCTGGACTTGTGATCCTGTGGTCCTGGGTTCGATCCCAGGCACCGGCGAGAAACAATGGGCAGAGTTTCTTTCACCCTATGCCCCTGTTACCTAGCAGTAAAATAGGTACCTGGGTGTTAGTCAGCTGTCACGGGCTGCTTCCTGGGGGTGGAGGCCTGGTCGAGGACCGGGCCGCGGGGACACTAAAAGCCCCGAAATCATCTCAAGATAACCTACCCGGGAGGCAGTCGGCGCTCACTCCTCAACACGAAGTCGAGACAACTGGCTGCAACCGCCGACCCAAAGTGACACAGGACCCAACTAGGCCCCCCTCTAGCATCAGCCTTAATACTGATGAGTGGATGGCCGGTGCAAGGGTCTGGGGCTCCCCCTTCCCCCTCCCGGGGAGGAGGGAGCTGCGCAGACAGCGGCGTGGCGACGAGTGACGTCATGATCGTTTGATTGTTTCTTTTTGGGGAGTTCTATACACTTTTTCGCCTTTTTGTAGCAATTTTCACCACAATAGGGGTTTGTTTTGGGACGCTAACCTTTCTGGGTACCTGACCCGGTCGATGGCAGACATAGAATGCTTCCAACCATACGGGGGTTTCTATAGGCCATTGCTCCTTGTGCCTCTTCTGAGGCGGCCAGGTTCTGGCTTGTGGTCCCCGGTAGGCCCACAGAGCTCCATACACATGACTGATGCCAATGTCTGACATTAGCATATCAGCCTGGATAGCTCCAGGAAGCCAAAGGGGCTCCCCCCAGAAACCTGTCCAATTTTTTTTAAATAAAGACGTACACTTTTGTTCCAGCAACATTTCTTATACTGGTTGGGAGGATATTGAACAACCATGGTTTTCTGATATTCATAGTGTTTTCTGATTGTGCCAATGTCATCTCTACTCTTCACTAGCTCAATTTTGTATTTCCTTCCATATCTTTCACTCCAGTATGTTATTTTACCGAGCAAATTTACCATGCAGCCCTCCAGTATGTCCATGTACAGTGTATATATTCGATACCTCTTGTCTTCTTTCTAGAGAGTACATTTTGAGAGCTTTGACACGATCCCAATAGTTTAGGGGTTTATCGTGTCTATGCATGCTGCATGTTCTCTTTATTCCCTTTATTTCAGCAATCTCTCCTGCAGTGAAGAAAGGAGTGAGAATGGAGCAATACTCAAAACAGAACAGCACAAGTGATTTGAATAGTATGAGCATTGTGATAGGATCTCTAGATATGAAGACACTTAATCCATCCTATCATTTTTCAAGCCAACACTATATTTGCTTGATTATGTTCCGTAAACGTTAGTCATCAGACATCATTATTCCCAGATCCTTTAGATGATGATTTACTAGTATGGGCAGATTTGATTGTGCTTTGTTCTCCAGGTGAACAGGCCTGGCATAGATTACCTTGAGGTTACATTGAGATGATTTCGGGGCTTTTTAGTGTCCCCGCGGCCCGGTCCTTGACCAGGCCTCCACCCCCAGGAAGCAGCCCGTGACAGCTGACTAACACCCAGGTACTACTGCAGAGAAAGCAGGTAAACAATGCCTTCACATCCACCTTCTAGACCAGGGGTTATTACCCTGGGGTCCATAGATGGGTTTGAGGGAGGTCCAGCAAAATCAAATAAAAATTTAACATTTAGTCACTATATTTTGATATCAAGCTGTTGTTTTTGTCAATACAGTATATATATACAAGATATCATATGTGCATTTTTTCTAGGGAAGGGGTCCAAAGCTTGCATCAGGGTTTCAAATGGGTGCAAGACTTAAAAGATTAAGAACCACTGTTCTAGATGGATAGTCAGTCAGTTAAATAATTAATACCCACTTTTAGCCATGTTGTAAAACAGCTGCAATAGCTGTCAGGGGCCAAATTCAAAATGCCTTAACAGTATCTAGATCAGTTCCCAAATCTTTTTTTTTATAACTTATTTTACTAATGTTTTCAACTTTTTTCAAAATTAAAATGTCACAAATTTTGACCCTGTCCAAGATCTTTTGACAAGATAGCTAATAAATGAACTTCATTCACAAAGTCATTTTAAAACACCACACAAACTTGAAGTCATACCTTTGGTTGGTAGCAATCTGGAAGCTGACTTTATCTCCGGGTTTAAGAGTTACATAGCCCTCAACATCTTCCTTGCCATACGGAAGGAAGAAACACTCTCCACGATTCTCATAAGTGATTCGTCCCTGATGCTCTCCTCCTGATTCACTACGCAGCTCCGTCGTAACGATGCCTATCACTCTCTCCTCGCTCAGAACCTGATCACCATCACAATAATAAATTTGCATTAACAATTAACATAAAACAAGCTAAATTTGATTACACTAATTGAAAATTGATGGTATCTTAAGGAAGTCTACAGTGAAGAGTTTAAAATAGAATGGTTAGGGTCAATTAATCAAAATCTGCAGATTTTCTCAATTTTATACACCTTGTGGCAGAATATTGGCCCAATAATGTCTAGGTTAACCAATATTTTATTTATCCAACATTTTTATAGATATAAAATTGGATTTGTCTAAATTAAAAAGAAAAAAAGTGTCCATGTAATAAAAATGTCTCTTTCTGGTGAGACCTTGGAGGTTACCTGGATATATCCACCCAATTTGAGAAACATCAGGCCCTTGTGACCCATTATAAACCTATTGGGGACCAGAAACCATAACTTGGCCAACTCTCTCTCATATCAGGAGGTGGTCATCGTAAAGGTAGAGAGAACACAGACAACAGCAAGGTAAACCATAACGTGGAAATCGAGACCCTGAAATGATTCATCAGATTGCGAGGCAACAAACTCTTAGTAATAGCTGCATTCCACCAGGTGCCTGTGCAGCTAGCTACTTGGCCCCCCCAACTGACATGTTAAGACATTTAGCCAAAAAGAAGTAGAACCAAAGCCTGAAATAGATATGGAAGGGGCCCAGGGAGCCTCCACGAACTTCCATTATTTCATTACATTCAATGCCGATTTTCTTGGAAGGCACTTATGGAGGCTTCCTGGTGCTATGTCAACACAGAACAAAATTATAAGGGGAATTCACCCAGAGCAGAGGAGAACTACAGACAGTAATCCCCACAAGAGAGTGAATAAGCAAAGTTTACTGTTGCAAATCCACACAAGTCCACTGAGGACCAGGCATGGTCATCAAGCCACCAACACTGTTGAATTGCTAATACCTCAGAGCCCAAATATCTGCCCACGACATTAGAAAAAAAAAACAGAGCACGAGAGTAAACTGCAGGCTGGCTAAATTTAATACCATGGAAAAGCTGACACAAATGGGTCCTGGAACAAGGGACCAGGAACACCGGATCCACAGAGCATGGTGCAGCAATAACGGAAAATGGCTGCAACCAAACCAACCAAATGTCAATCTCCAAAGGACCCCCTCCAGAAACTTATGGTCTCATTCTTATCCAGAAAATACGGAGGGTGACGTAAATGAAGAAAACTACCGCTCAGGCCAAAAGTATAGAAGCCCTGCTTTCAGAGGAGAGCACAAAGCTCCCTAAACCTATATTCAAAAGCAAGACAGCAAAAACACAGCACTGATTGATTGATAAAAATTAAGTCACCCAAAACGTCGCACAAGCATCAATAGCCCATAAGAACACAGCATTAAAGAAGTAATCCTGGACTGAAGGGATGACAGAACTGAAGACAGAAAAACCAGAACTTTAACCATAGACAAGAAGGCTCAGGAAGAACATAAGCAGACTCAAGGTGAAAAACCCAGTATTGAATATAATAAAATGTCTTCATTCTGGTAGAGCCCCGGTGGCTCCCTTAAGTTCTCTCTCTCTAATATTGACCCACTTTAATGGGGGGTCACATCCGTCACAGGAGTTCTGTTGTTTGCAGCCTTCTTTTCTCGTAAAGAATGAGCCTGTGGGCTTCCAGAAGTGATTGATGCTCGGTTGCTTATGCTGGGAGTGTGTCATTTGTTGTCTGGTGGCAGCTCTTTACCGGTACCCGTGTGTCGCTGGTTCTTCCTTGGTGGATGCCTTCTTGGTTGACCTTGGCCCCTTTCCAAGGCTAGCATTTGCCAGGTAATCTGTAGTATCATTAAATCTTATCTTGCGAACATCATGGAGCCGGTCGGCCGAGCGGACAGCACGCTGGTCTTGTGATCCTGTGGTCCTGGGTTCAATCCCAGGCGCCGGCGAGAAACAATGGGCAGAGTTTCTTTCACCCTATGCCCCTGTTACCTAGCAGTAAAATAGGTACCTGGGTGTTAGTCAGCTGTCACGGGCTGCTTCCTGGGGGTGGAGGCCTGGTCGAGGACCGGGCCGCGGGGACACTAAAAGCCCCGAAATCATCTCAAGATAACCTCAAGAATCATGATCTACCCTCTAGATCATGATGTTCGCAAGTGCGTGACTTTGGCTGCAGTCTTCTCCAATATGTTCCCAGTAATTTAGGTGGTTTATTGAGTAGATTCTAGCATGAAAGGATCTCTGCACACACTCCAGGCCAGCAATTTCTTTAGCTTTGAAAGGGGCTGTTATTGTGCAACAGTATTCCACTCTAGAGAACATTAGCATCTTGAAAAGTAACATCACTGGTATAGCATCTCTTGTTTGAAAGGTCCTTGTTATCCAACCTGTCATTTTTCTTGCAGTTGTGGCGGCTACTTTACTGTGTTCTTTATTAAAGGTAATGTCTTCTGCCACGATTACACACACAAATTCTTTACTTTCTCTTACATTCTATGGTATAATTTGACCGTTTTGTATGTGGTTTCTGTTTATATTTTTTCATTTTTTCCTAAAGTGCAAGATAATTTATCTTCATTAAATACCGACATGAATATATTTAAGCATTCCAATATTCCATACACAAATTTCTCAAAAGACACACTATTGAATATTATTACAGAGAAGACAAAAACAAAACTGGAGACATTTCCATATTTAGACTAAGTTGACTAACTTAAATTCCAGTTGGAATTCTTTGAAAAACTTCAACTAGTTCTTGGCCTGACTCCATCTTTCACTTGTATACAACCGAGCACAAGGTATCAGTGGTGACTGGCTCCAGTTGGCACTTGGTAATTGAAGTTCTCTGCACCTGCCTCATTTTGTGGTCAACACCAGACCACCTTCAGCTGGGTGGGTCATCACCTCTTGTCAACTCTGGTTGATTCCTGGTTGATGGGGTTCTGGGAGTTCTACTCCCCAAGCCCGGCCCGAGGCCAGGCTTGACTTGTGAGAGTTTGGTCCACCAGGCTGTTGCTTGGAGCGGCCCGCAGGCCCATATACCCACCACAGCCCGATTGGTCGGCACTCCTTGGAGTCTGATTCATTGCCTCGTGAAATGTTTGTCCAGTGAATCGGCCAATTTTGCTATCCATATTTCATACCTCCATGAAATGGAGGTATGAAATACCTGAAATACCCGTTTGTTGTGCAGTGTAGTGTAGTGTAGTACAGTGCAATATTTCTCCTAGCATTCCTAGAAGTAGTCTTGGAGTGAAGATAAACGAACCCAATGAAGGTCAATTGGGATGGGGAAATATCCAATCTCCTCCTAATCCCACTTACAAAGTAAGGATGTTTGCATAGATCTCTGCTGCATAGGGAAGTAAAGGTTGCCCTGCTCTGGCTGGCACTAGGTCTTGTACTTTTAAGACAATGCCCAAGGCAGCAATCGAGTGGGGTTTCATCAATCACTAGTATATAACAATATACTAGTGATTTTGGCTCGCTCAAAAGCCTTAATATTGTTTTGGGAGGACAATACGCCATTGTCCCAAAAGTGAGAAATGTCACAATAACAATAAAAAATGAATTATATACTAACCTCGTTAGTGAAAAGCTAAGCGATTATTGCTCAAGATGATTGTTTATGACCATTTAATCAAGATTCAAGATATTATGGGATTGAAAACTTACCACTTCTGGTGAAATCTTAGTAACTGCAGATGCAATAGGTTTGCCTGTACGCCTATCAAAGGTCACCTCAAACTCCACAGGATCACCAATGCGGAGATGCTCCGTGTTGCCATCAAACTGTGAGAAGTGAAAGAAGAGTCTTGCCTGTCGCTCACAGCACTGAATAAAGCCATACGTTTGCTGAAATAAAGAACACAAGATCATAAGTATAAACTACAGGTCTCTAGCTCATACAAGGCAGCTCCTATTTATATCCAACCAAACTCACCCATGTCTAACTTTTACTTGAAATAATTCAGCTATCCCAGGCCTATTACTACCCAGTAACTTGTTTCATAAATCTACACCCCAATTCTCCAAACAAGTATTTACCCAGGTCTTAATTTCAACAGTTAAACTGCACAATGACTTTTTGGCTCACAGGCCCTACTAATCATGACTTTATACTGCATTTGTAATCATGACGGGAGGGTAAGGGAGCCGGTCGGCTGAGCGGACAGCACGCTGGACTTGTGATCCTGTGGTCCTGGGTTCGATCCCAGGCACCGGCAAGAAACAATGGGCAGAGTTTCTTTCACCCTATGCCCCTGTTGCCTAGCAGTAAAATAGGTACCTGGGTGTTAGTCAGCTGTCACGGGCTGCTTCCTGGGGGTGGAGGCCTGGTCGAGGACCGGGCCGCGGGGACACTAAAAAGCCCCGAAATCATCTCAAGATAACCTCAAGAAGATGACTAAGCTTATATTTGGTTATTCTATTCAGATCATCTGGGCTTAAAGTTTGAACTTTACATTTGTCATTATTAAACTGAATTTACCAATCTTTCATTTATTTCAAAGGCCTATGTCATTTTATTGGAATTTTGAGTTTGCTGAATACATTTACCACTACATTTATATTATCTTTAAAACTGCCAATGTTGCTGGTCAATCCTGTGTCAAACATTTCTATACTGTATATGATAATTAACATATGCCCCAAGACAAAGCCCTGAGGCATTCCACTTGCAATGTTTTTCAATACAGATTTCAGTTTATTTACGCTGTGTCCTTTGAAATAACTTTGTCTTTATTTGACTTAGGATTTGACCCAAAGTTCAAGCATGAGTAGCCCTAAAGTAAAGCTGTGTTGTAAATCTTTTATAATCTATGCTTTTCAAGATGGATGTAAATGTCTTTAGCCATTATTTATACAAGCCATTTTGCCGCAAGCTGACTGGTAGTTCAACAAACAAACTTTTCCCTCAAACATTGTTCGCCACAGTTGCGACTCTCCATGACTGGTATAATCCTGTACTCAGAGAAGTGGTGGGGAAGAATGCTAATTTTAAAAAGGGAATTTAATGTTAATTTTTTATATACGAAATAAGTATATTTGTGTGTTCAATATAAGGCATAGAATAATCTAACGAGTTCCAATAGCTTGCCCAAGGTCTAAATCCTAATTAACATGAGCACGGTGTGGAGGAAGACGGTGGATATGGAACGGCAATATCAAGACAGGAATGATACGTTCAGACAGGGCAGCAGAGAGCTCGTCTATCAGTCACCCCCCCCCTACCTTGGAACACAACCCATGGCTAATACATTACCAACACCTCAAATGTAGATATTTAAGTCAACTTAAGTACAGTATATACATTATATTTCAAAAGTAGTGACATTACATTTACTTAACACTTACCAACAATTTTTCAATGATGCCAGTTTCTCGCACACTCTGGCTATTGTTGCTAGAAATTCCATTACTATGCGAGTAAGAGTTATTGGAGTCTTGGCTATTTGACTCTGATGGGAACCCATTGGCATTGAGGGTGAAAGTTCCAATTTTGAAATCAGCAACAGGAGGAGTGTATTGTGAACTTGAATTAGAGTTATAGTAATTGGATGTAGAAGTTAGCTGTGGGGAACGTGGAGGACCCTGAGATGGTGGTGGTGGTGGCTGCTGTGATTGTTGCTGTTGCTGCTGCTGCTGCTGTTGTTGCTGCTGCTGCTGCTGTTGCTGCTGCTGTTGTTGTTGTTGCTGCTGCTGCTGCTGTGGCTGCTGTTGCTGCTGCTGCTGCTGTGACTGTTGCTGCTGCTGTGAATGCTGCTGAGAATGCTGCTGTGAATGGTTATTAGCTTGATGATTTGACTGGTGGTTTGACTGGTGAACAGACTGATTGGACTGTTGACTCGACTGGTGATTATTCATATGGGAGGAAAATACGTTGTGTTGTGGCGTGGGACATATAAAGCTAGGAGAGAGCGGAGCCATGTTGCTGCGAGACTGGTGGTGGTTGGAGAGTGGAGAATCATAAAAACCATTGTATCGACTGTGGTGTTGTAGGCTTCCCCCGTTGTATTCCAGTACTGCTGGTTCAGAGATTGGCGGCTGGAAAAGATTCCACTGAGGATCCATGGTCGGTGTTTTCTACAACAGTACTTTTTGAACACTTAAAAAATATGTTGGCTCCTGTTATCTTCACACTTTCTTTTTTAGGAACAAGGATTACGTAAAATGCTTCAGAGATGAACCATTACATAGGACGCTTGGTCAGTTTTTTTTTTATATTACTGCTTTGATTCACATAGGTTTAAAAGCATAAGATTAGGAGTATTGTCAGATTCACAAAACTTTATAGTCCAAAATAAGTTTCACACCGATATAACTGGATAAAGAAAAAAAAGAAAAAAGAAAAAAAGAAAAGGTATACGTGACCAGAAGACACAACTTTCAGGATAAACAATACATCTAACAAACACTGACTTTGGTCAACAAAGATTCTACGTAACACAGATTCTTGCGACGAGACCGGTTTACAAAATGCTCAATAAATAGAAGGGGGCGGCATTTGAAAAATAGCACTTCTTTTGTGCCAGGCTGTGTAAGAGAAGACTTTTGTAGTAGTTTGGCGGTGATAACTGGCTTGTATGGGGGTGGTGGTCCTCAGATGTCACTCAGTTGCTTGTGCCGTGCTTCGCTGTGCCAATGGTGCAGGCCAGGCTTGGGGTTGGAACTTGACAAGAATTGTAGCAGTTTCCTTCTACCGTAATGAATGCTAGGACTTGGCAGTTGTGCTTCTTTGGGTTGGCTTGCAGAGGTTGCTTGTAGATTGCTACATCTAGGTAGGCTTGACTTATTACTGGGAACTTGTGGACTTCTAAACTAATTTAAATTGGCTTGGCTGCTGTTTAGTTGATGTTAATTATTCAAGTCTTGAGATGTTCAGACTCTACTGAAAAAATAAAGAGAAAAAACATAAGACAAAGTCTAAATACGGCATACAAGAAAAAATATCTTAACAAAAATACAAATTATTAGGAACTTTCAATGAAATAAAGAGAACATATTCTCAGAGCCTACAAAACGACAGTAAATGCCATTAACCCTTTACCTGTAAAAATACTCATGTTTGGAAACGATATCTTAATTCAGTAGACACACACACTTGTCAAACTGCATAAAACAAAAAACAAGTGTCCTGTATATATTGGTAGACAATCATGCCATGACCTTGACATGTCATGGCAAATAAACGTCATAGTACAGGCTGTCATCCGAAGGCAAAAGTTTAACTATTAAAATTATGAAAGTGTAGTTACTGGAGGAGAGCTACGCTCATGTTGTCCTGCCTTTCCAGTACTCTGTCGTATAATGCTTTGATAATTCCATAATATACTTCCGTATAATAATTCCGTATTCCATATAATGCTTCCGTATAATTCCAGTACGTCGTATAATGCTTTGAAACTACTGTACTGACAGTTTTGGCCTCCACCACCACCTCACTTAGCTTGTTCCAACCATCTACCACTCTGTTTGCAAAAGAGAACTTTCTAATATTTGAAAGTAACTTTCTCTGACTGTAATGAAGCCCACCTTTCTGTTGAGCCCCTCGTGTCTTATGTACCACAATTGCCTATTGAGGAACAGGACCAGACTCTAGTAGGTAGGGAGTGTTGGCAGATACATTATCATAACAGTAATCTGAAGGAAAGACTACCAGAAAGGTTGTGCACCAAAACAAACAACTGGGATGAGGGTGGAAGGGGGGATGGGGAAAGAGGTGCCAACAATTGCAACCTCAATGTGAACTACAGTACTTTATGTACATACTGATTGTCAACGACCAACGCCTAGTTAAGAACACTCATTCGCCTCCCGATGGTGGCCCCAGGGACCCAACAGGTCCCAGCCAGCCATCCCCATCACATGCACGACACTTAAAATACAAACACAACCACCACAAGAATAGCAAGGCGGGAATGGGCAGCATGGACTGCAGGCTGACTAACTGAACCACCCTGCAAACAACCTGAAACAACCAGGCCCAGGAACAAGGAGCCAAATTCACTGGGTTGACAAAAACAGTCTTCCCAAGGGAAGACTTACAGGAACAACCGTGGACATCTTCAAGAGGAAACTAGATTGTTTCCTCCAAGGAGTGCCGGACCAACCGGGCTGTGGTGGGTATGTGGGCCTGCGGGCCGCTCCAAGCAACAGCCTGGTGGACCAAACTCTCACAAGTCAAGCCTGGCCTCGGGCCAGGCTTGGGGAGTAGAAGAACTCCCAGAACCCCATCAACCAGGTATATGTGGGCCTGCGGGCCGCTCCAAGCAACAGCCTGGTGGACCAAACTCTCACAAGTCAAGCCTGGCCTCGGGCCAGGCTTGGGGAGTAGAACAACTCCCAGAACCCCATCAACAAGGTAACCAATCAACCAGGTAACCAAGGGCTCTGAGTGGTATGCAAGTATTGTACCTTTAAACCTTCCTAACTGAACAATAAAAACCTTGGCCAAAGAAACCAAGCTGCATTCTTTGCCAGAAAGAACAAAGACGGCTGAAGTCAAAGAATTTAACCCCCCTCCCCCCCCCCCCCAATTTTTGGGGGAGGTAACCAAAGGAGGTTGGTGAAGCTCACCAACCTCACAATAGAAGGGGGGGGAACCAACAATTTATATAGTCTGCTGAATTGTGTATGGTGTGAAAATTTCATCAAAAACTGACCAAAACTTATGGAGAAGTTCATGAAAAACCCTTAAAATGGCGTTTTGAGATTTGACTTTTCCCACCAAAAATGGAGGGGGTCACAATCCTTAATAATAGCTGTTTTATGGGCTATCACTTCATGGTCGCACTTATCAATGCCCTTGCCAAGTCTGTGTATACATCTGCATATTGTTTTTCTTCTAATGCTTATGATTTTGTCATAGTGGTTGAGTACCTGTGAAAGACAGGATCTTCCTACTCTAAATCCATGCTGACCTGGGTTGTGAAGTTCATAGTTTTCTACAAATCTGGAGATATGATTACAAAACTGAGGTACTGTACTATTATAAATAAAATCTAGATCATCCACCATGAAAATCCCACGTCAACTTCCATCTGTACAGAATGATTATAAGACCTAGCCTTGAGTACCCGTACGTCCCCCCTGAATCTCGCCAACAAAACCAACATGTTAAAGATCCAACGGGTCCAAACCAAAGCACCTCGCTTCACGGCGGGCCTGTCGCTGGCAGACAGGGTAAGAACAGACCAGATCCACGAGACACTCATCATATCAATGAACACAGGCTCGGCTACCTGGCCAGAAGGCAGCAGTACCGCATGAAGCACGTGTATGTCCTAGACCCCCGAAGAACCCCACGAAGCAGTAAACACCACCAGTGACTCCGAGATCCATGAACCACCGCACACAACCACAAGAATCACTTTCCAGCAAAAAGTGATCAGACATATCCATGATCAGGCCTTCCCAAGTCCTCAAATACTAAGTGATCTGCCAAACGACCCAGGTAAGTGGCCCATCTCAGACCCGATTTATACCTAATAAAAAAATCAGCAAAATAAAAATACAAATCAACGATAACAAAAAAACTTTTGTGCTACTAGAAGGGTAACTACCTTGATGTTGCCAAGATTAATCTCCTTTAGCCAACTCCAACAGCTTTAGGGTTTCCAGACACCAGCTAGGACACAAACACTAGCCACCCAGCCAATGTACTGACAACCCAACACACCACATACCCAAACAAATGACACACACATGCCAACCCATGGTGGACAGGCCACCAAACCTTCAAACCCCACCTCTCTCTACAGCCGCATCCTCTTCCAGAATTTCACCTCCCCATCCCTCTACCTCCCCCATCCTTCCCAAACCCTTTAGACAACAAAGCGATGCGATATAACTCAATCGCCTACCTCCAGTGATTGAGTCATATCGCCTACCTTTGCTAGATCATGCCGCCTGGTACAGGAACGATTGTGTTAACATATGCTGAATTCCACAAACTACTGGAGGCAGGAATATTCCACCCTTCAATCAGTCAGTGGGTTTCATCTCTCCATATAGTTCCATAAAAGCCTCCAGGGGAGTGGCGTCCTTGAGAGGACTCTTTGATATCTCTCGGAGATTGAGTAACAATCATTTATTTTTTTAATCTGACCTTGTGAGGGCCTGTCACCAGATGTTGGTGGAACCGGCAGACAAATCGAAAACAGGGATCACAACACCTTGTTGCCTGTCTGAACTCATCCGTATGCCTTTCGGTCTATGTAATGCAACACCGACGTAACACCATCGATCAAGTAATTAAGGCTCTTCCCTTTTGCTACACCTACATCAACGATCTTCTGGTGGCCAGTAAATCACCGACAAAACATTTGCTACACCTCCGGCTACTTCTTACCCTTTTGCATGACTGACTTACAATTGAACTCCAAGATTTATCCCACATTGCTTGGACATCTAGTGACACTTGTACGACCTCTTATGGGGTCAGAAACACGTCCCGGCTCCAACTTTTTGGAGGTAATTGCTGGTAAAGGATAATATCCAGAGGTTGAAAATGGGAAACAGATTCACGGAAAATGAAAGGGAAATGTGTGAAACATTAAATGAAAAGTTCCAAAGTGTGTTTGTACAAAATGAAATCTTCCGAGAACCAGACACAATGGGAATTCCAGAGCACAACATAGAGCGGATAGAGGTGTCTAGAGATGAAGTGGAAAATATGCTCAAGGAGCTCAGTAAGAACAAAGCAGCTGGCCCAGATGGAGTTTCACCATGGGTTCTGAGAGAATGTGCATCTGAGCTCAGCATTCCAATTCACCTGATCTTTCAGGCATCCCTGTCTACAGGAATCGTAGCAGACGTGTGGAAACAGGCTAACATAGTTCCAATCTACAAAAATGGCAGCAGGGAAGACCCCCCTCAATTATAGACCTGTATCATTGACAAGTGTAATAGTGAAAGTATTGGAAAAACTAATCAAAACTAAATGGGTAGAACACCTGGAGAGAAATGATATAATATCAGACAGACAGTATGGTTTTCGATCTGGAAGATCCTGTGTATCGAATTTACTCAGTTTCTATGATCGAGCCACAGAGATATTACAGGAAAGAGATGGTTGGGTTGACTGCATCTATCTGGACCTAAAAAAGGCTTTCGACAGAGTTCCACATAAGAGGTTGTTCTGGAAACTGGAAAATATTGGAGGGGTGACAGGTAAGCCTCTAACATGGATGATAAATTTTCTGACTGATAGAAAAATGAGGGCAGTAATCAGAGGTAATGTATCGGAATGGAGAAATGTCACAAGTGGAGTACCACAGGGTTCAGTTCTTGCACCAGTGATGTTTATTGTCTACATAAATGATCTACCAGTTGGTATACAGAATTATATGAACATGTTTGCTGATGATGCTAAGATAATAGGAAGGATAAGAAACTTAGATGATTGTCATGCCCGTCAAGATGACCTGGACAAAATAAGTATATGGAGCACCACTTGGCAAATGGAATTTAATGTTAATAAATGTCATGTTATGGAATGTGGAATAGGAGAACATAGACCCCACACAACCTATATATTATGTGAGAAATCTTTAAAGAATTCTGATAAAGAAAGAGATCTAGGAGTGGTTCTAGATAGAAAACTATCACCTGAGGACCACATAAAGAATATTGTGCAAGGAGCCTATGCAATGCTTTCTAACTTCAGAATTGCATTTAAATACATGGATGGCGATATACCAAAGAAATTGTTCATGACTTTTGTTAGGCCAAAGCTGGAATATGCAGCTGTTGTGTGGTGCCCATATCTTAAGAAGCACATCAACAAACTGGAAAAGGTGCAAAGACATGCTACTAAGTGGCTCCCAGAACTGAAGGGCAAGAGCTACGAGGAGAGGTTAGAAGCATTAAATATGCCAAAACTAGAAG